AAGCGATCTTGATAGCCATCGAGGATCGAATTAGCCTGTGGTCAGTCCAGCAGTCGTCAGCACCTGTCATGGCTCTTGTGAGGAGCACGTCACGGCGGTCTCTGGCACGTGTGATTACATAGTCTAAGAGGTGCCAATGCTTTGACCGGGGGTGCTTCCATGATGTCTTGAACTTGTTTTTCTGGCGGAAGAGCTGTTGGTGATGACAAGGTTGTGCTCCGCACATTTGGTGAGAAGCAGGATGCCATTCGGGTTGCTGTTTCCAACCCCGTCTTTTCCTATGGTCCCTGGCCACAGGTCGAAGTCTCGCCCGACTCTTGCATTGAAGTCCCCCAGGAGGATGATTTTGTCCTCCTTAGGTATCCCCGATAGGACGGTGTCCAGCTGACAGTAGAATTTCTCCTTGATGTCTTCGTCAGCATCTAGTGTTGGTGCATAGGCACTTATGATGGTTGCCCGTTGGTTTTTGGCAAGATCGATTCGGAGGGTTGAGAGTCGTTCGTTGATACCAGTGGGTGCTTCGGACAGATGTTTCATCAGATCATTTCTGATGGCGAAGCCAACTCCGTGCATTCTTTGGTCTTTTTTGGGCAGTCCCTTCTAGAAGAAGGTGTAGCCTCCTTTTTCTTCCTTCAGCTGTCCCTCTCCTGCTCTCCGGGTCTCCTGAAGGGCTGCTATGTCGATGTTGAAGCGTCCCAGCTCCCTTGCAATGATGGCAGTTCTGCGTTCGGGGCGTTCACTGCCGCTGTTGTCCATCAGAGTCCGGACGTTCCACGTACCGAAGTTCATTTTTCTTTTTTGGCCGCAGGGTGGTGACCCCACTGGACGCGGCAGTCCAGTCAGGGATGAGTGAGGCAGACTATGTTTAGGGCACCTTTTCTAGCCCCCTCCCCGTGTGGGGTGAGCAGAGTGGGTCCTAAAAAGGGCTGCTCAGTCGCGGATACAGCTGCCGAACTACTCAACTGCCTCGGACCTTGAGGTAGAACGACTGAGTCCGTACCCACCGCCCATGTGCCAGTCTGTGACTAGGGGCTTCCAGATTTCACAGTCCTGCCCCCGTCGCCACTCGCTGATCGCCATGGGACTTTTGTTGGTTTGTTTTTATTTTCTTTGGAAGACGCCTGTGCGTGGGTTTTTTTAATGTGTGGAGGTCAGTGCACAACTGATCAACACACAGACTTCACAGAGTGAGGTTCCACTGGTGATGTAGTTTAACACAATGACCGTGGCTTCTCAGTCTGTTGCAGCCTTCTTCCGCCTTTGCAGCCATTGTAACATGTGCCATGTTATCCTCCGCCTGCTCCGCCGTTGAGGTCTTTGGGTCTTCGGACTGTGCTTGGTCTGGAACCTCCCCCGCGCCACTCCTGGGAGTGCACGACTCCAGTTGTTGTGCCTACAGGTTCATCGGAACGCGCAAGCCCCCTCACCACGACAAGGTGACAGTCCATCGAGGGGTAAAAGCCACAAAAGCCTTCCAGCAATGAAAGTTTTTGACAACACAAATCTAAATCTCATTCAGAACCAAACAACTGAAACACATCTTCTGGGTCTGACAGCTTCTATGTATATTTGTACAGAGAAAAATGCACAAATTTGGCAATACAATCAAATTAGTGAGACGAGCTCAGGAGCATAGGGTATGTTCAGCATAGCAACAGATTAATGCAAGTATGTAGACAATATTACAGTGGCGAAGTCAATATACCTTAAAGTCAATGAGTCAGGAAAAGCAATCATTAAATCATTTGGACAATGAAATGTGTGTTACAAAAGAGTGAAATACCCCTCCAATAGCAAAGAGGAGCTTGATCAGTAGATAGTCCTCTCTTCATCTACACAGAAAACTGGACGACTTGGAAGGCGCTGAACAGACTGAGCTCTGGCACCACAAGATGCAGAGCCAACTTTAAGAAATGGAGCTACAAAGTGGAATCCATGGCATGCGAGTGTGGAGAAGAGCAAACTACAGACCATCTGCTGCAGTGCAACCTGAGCCCTGCCACATGCATAATGGAGGACCTTCTTATAGTAACACCAGAGGCACTCCAAGTGGCCAGCTACTGGTCAAAGGACATTTAATCAACTACCAAGCTTGCAAACTTTGTGTTTTGTTTGTTTATTTGTTAAAAATGCAATACAACTGTTTGGTTTGCTCCTGACATGATAAATAAATAAATAAATCGGTCTGTTTGTCTGCACTCCCAATGTATTTAATTATTGATCAGAAAACATCAGAAACACACAAGTCCAGATGCCCAAACTTTCCATCCCAGGGATCCAATACTAAAGGTAATATGGTGGTTCCACTTCAAATATCACAATGCCAATATACAGAATTATTATGTTTACATTAATGTGGTGGAAGGATACCAGTGTATCCTATGAAAGAAAAAAAGACCTTTCTGTGTTACTTACCAGTGGTCGGAGGTCTGGATGAGACAGAATGTAGCCATTGTTCGTATTTAGAAAGGCATATCCATGGACTCCCAGCTTTAAATATAATGTATTGAATTAACTAAGTTTATGTACCTTACATAAGAGGGAAAATAACACAAAGTAATTCCTCAAAAATAGATACTTATACTTATTTACTAGTGGTTATGACATCATCTCTATCTACAAAACACAGACACCAGCAATAAGTTTCAGTTAGATTTTCAACGCAATAAGCAGAATATTTTGTCATTTCTGAAATCAACCTATCTATAATGCTTCTAAGCTTCTAAGAAATCAGTGAATGTGACTGGGCATTATCAATGTTTACAATAACTTTGCATCAAAATACTTGCAGATGTAAAATTACACTGTACTCTTTGTATCCTTGTAGTATGTTCATTCTATTTCAGGAGGCAAGGGCAATTTACACTCAGAAGAAGTTTAGCACAGGAATATTGTATGGTGTCTAAATAGAATCAGGAGTATATGGCCAGTATTTCCTGTATTTATCCTTGTTCTTTCCAGTTCATGGAAGCAGTGAAATTGAATTAGGAACTTTCTGCTTTGTAATTTAATTTCTTAGCCACTATGGTGCACTTTGCAGATGTAACTACTGCAGGGGCATAAGGATCAGAGCCATAGGGGCTGCTGCCATGGAGCAAGTAAGGCACCTGAGAATTAAACTATTAGGAGCAAACAGCATTTGTCTGCATTTCTTTCCACTGCTACACAATAATGAAAAAGTGCAGAGCATCAACAGGATTCCAGTCCCTAAATACAAATCCCACGAGTCAGGTTGGTCACAGGTGAAATATTAATGCACATCACCATTCAAGCACTTCAGCTGAATTAATCTATTTCTAACATTGCAAAGCAGCACAAACAAACTACAGCCAGCCCTTTGTATCAATGGATTCCACTATTAATGATGTGAAAATATTCTTCCCACAAAAAAATTAAAAAGCAAACTTCAATTTTGCCATTTTATACAAGGCACTGTTTTATTATGCCATTGTATATAATGGGAATTGAGCATCTACTGTTTTTTTTTAATCCAAGATGGAAACAAAACCCTGTGGATACTACAGGTCCACTGTAGTCAAACTCTAGACAGTCAGGTAGGTTTTAGAAACTGCCATTAGGTCAAACAGTGTATTACTGGAGCCCATCAAAGCCACATTGGGGACTGCTAGTTGGAACTAAACTAATGAAACCCTTGGGGAGAGAAGAGCAACAAAAATCTGTTGCAGTCAATGGAAGCTTATGTAAACAAACCTGGTTAATTTGCTGAGACTCACTACAAAACTTGCTCCAGTTTTGGCTGGAAGCCTAATGCTGGCCTGAAGTAGGGACCACATCTTGTAGCAATGTACTGTACAGGCAGAAGAAGAACTCTGCAAGATGCTTTTGTCATGATAATGTAGCTTTCTGTGTAGATTATTGAATATCACAGTAATAATTGGATGCTGTTATGGTGGTTCTTACCTTGTATCGTGGAGCAAGTTTCAGGAGTTCTCTCAGAGGAACATCTGAGCCTACCACACCCAGGAGAATGCCATGAGATCTCTGAAAAATAATAGAAAAGTGAGAACAAATAACATAGACCCCCATCCTCCATGAGCGAAAGCCACCATTATTCTTTCAAACATCATCCGAGTCTAACAGAGTAGTTGTTTACAGACAAAGAAGGGCACACTGGATTTATCAGTAAACTCACAACACTATAACGCTGGAGATAAGCAATATCTGCAGTGGGTCTTATCATTAGTTCAAATTCCATGCAGATGTGGCCATTTTGATTTTTAAGTTCTGATTTTAAATTTTTTGTCTACCTCACCAGCAAGACCTATTTTCGAAGGAGGCTCTGCTCTCGGTCCCACCTCCTTCCCAGGTGCGGTTGGTGGGGACGAGAGACAGGACCTCCTCAGCTTTTGAACTCCCTCCCCAGTGAAATTAGAGCAGTGGCCTCCCCCCTAGCCTTCAGAAAGAAAGCAAAAACATAGCTGTGGGACCAAGCCATTGGTTAGTGAGCAGTGGAAGAAATGAAAAAGGGAATATGTGCAATTGACAATTGGAAAGGCTTTGGATAATGAATCTGGATTGTTATTTTAATGTTTATACTAATATGCTTCTATGTTTTAATATCTAAATGTTGTCTACGTTTTATGGTTTGATATGGTTTTAATAGTTTTAATTTATAGTTACATGTTATTGTTTGATTTTTTTTGTTCTGGCTTTTCACATGTATGTTCGGCATTCAATTTTGCCATGCTTACGTTGGGAACTGCTTTGAATCCCCCCAGGGGTGAGAAAGGCAGTGTATAAATACATTAAATAATAAATAAATATTTAATAGAGATTGTTTTATTACTACACATTCTGAATTCAAATCTGTGGAGCGGCATGAGCTCCCACTCTTAGCCTCAGCTTCTGCCAACCTAGCAGTTTGAAAACATGCAAATGCGAGTAGATCAATAGGTACTGTTCCAGTGGGAAGGCAACGGCACTCCATGCAGTCATGCCAGCCACATGACCTTGGAGGTGTCTATGGATAACACTGGCTCTTTAGCTTAGAAATGGATTTAAGCACCAACCCCCAGAGTCGGACATGACTGTACTTAATGTCAGGGGAAAACCTTTACCTTTACCTATTCTGAATATTTAAAGGGTAATTTATTATATTCTCTTAAATATCCAGAATGTTGTCCATACCTACAAATGCTGGTTTGGAAAGCATTGTGAATATTTAAATAGGACACTATACAAAAAGTTGCTTCCCACATTTTTATTTTTTATGAGTTTTTTTAAAAAAAATTATGAGTAATTTTTATATTTTTATACCTATGAGATGATAAACTGTATAGTAAGACTCAGCAGAGACAGAACCTTAAAAGGCTGGTGGTCAAAGAGATAGCAGAAGTAATATGTTTTTGCATAAAAAGACATCAAAATTCATTAATACATTTGGGAAGAAAAATTCTTACATAAGCTTTGGTACATTCAGTCTACTTCACCAGAGGAAGGATGCATCTGATGAAGTGGACTGAGTCCACAAAAGCTTATCCAACTCAAAGGTGCTAATGAAGTTCTCTATGATACTATATCTGTCATATACATGTGTGTGTGTGTGTGTCATATATATCTATCTATATCTGTGGCTGGATGGCTCTTTGTCAGGAGGGCTTTGATTATGTTTTCTTGCCCTGGTAAAGGGGTTTGGACTGGGTGGCCTTAAGGCAGCATTTCTCAACTTGGGGGTTGGGACCCCTGGGGGGGGAGTGAGGGAGTGTCAGAAGGGTCACCAAAGACCACCATAAAACACAGTGTTTTCTGTTGGTCGTGGGTGTTCTGTGTGGGAGGTTTGGCCTAATTCAGGGTTCAGAATGCTCTTTGATTGTAGGTGAACTATAAATCCCAGTAACTACAACTCCCAACTGTCATGGTCTCTCTCCCCCCCCCCCACACTCCATCTGTGTTCACAATTGGGCATATGGAATATTGGTGCCAAGTTTGGTCCAGATCCATCATTATTTGAGTCCACAGTGCTCTTTCTAGATGTTGATAAACTACAATTCCCAAACTCAAGGTCAACGTTCACCAAACCCTTCCAGAATTTTCCGTTGGTTGTGTGAGTACTATGTGCCAAGTTTGGTTCAGTTCTATTGTTGATGGAGTTCAGAATGCTCTTTGATTATAGGTGAACTATAAATCCCAGCAACTACAACTCCCAAATGACAATATCAATTTTTTGAGTGATGGTCACTCCTTGGATTAGTAGGTGTATTGTGTCCAAATTTGGTGTCAATTCGTCCAGTGATTTTTGAGTTCTGTTAATCCCACAAACGAACATTACATTTTTATTTATATAGATGGTATCCATAATCAGCAGCACTGAGACGCAGCAACACAACAAGTTAAGATGGAGTATTTAAGAAATGAAGTTGTGCCTAAGAGGATCATTAACACTTACCTAGCCTGTATATATGTATCTTTATATCTTCTCTTATTCTAAATTGAGTTAAAAGTTGCCTGAAAGCATCATGCTTACCGTTTCATTCTTCTTGCTAAAGACTGGCATAGCCACCGTTGTCATGAGCAAGAGGCTTTGAGCTTGAGATGCAAAGAGCTATCCAGTTTGGGGGGAGGAGAGAAAATAAAAGGGAGTAGTGCGTTACTCAGTGGAACAGTCGTAATAACATGAAGGATGCCAACCACTGAAAAGCATAATTGAAAAGCACACTTCAAAAAAAGAAAAAAAATGCTAGGAGTATGGTTGGTCTGAGGAGGGTCTTTGTTAAAGGAAAAAGGCATTTGTGAGAAATATTCAAGGCAGATATATATATCAATCACAAATAACCACACATAGCATAGGTTAACATAGCATAGTCAGAGGCACAGATGCATCGTTCAAGTATGTAGAATTAATAATATATTCCAAGCATACTTACAAACACAAAGCCAAACAAGTAAAAGAGAAGGCAGAGGACAAATGACAATACAAAAAAACATGGTAGACTACAAATGGCAATATTCAAGCAATACAAACCCTCTACAAGAAAAAGTGGCAGCCACAACATTAGAAAAGTGGACTAAATCAAATTGTTGGTCCCAAGAGGAGATCCACTGGATCAGTAAGACTTATTAAATAAACACGTGTTGTGTGGAAAGACAAGGTATATATAAATATGATGAAAATATTGATTCATTTGATCTAATTGTTTGCCGGACAAACAATTGGATTTAGGCAAGGATGCAAATTATGTAGCCCTCCATGTTGATGGATTGCAAGTTCCAGCAACCCTGGTTGGCATAACCAATTATGAGGATAGCCGTGAGTTAAGTCCAACAAGATCTGGTGATGAAAGGATAACATTGGACTACATGGGGAAATTGCAGCTGGATAAACAGAAGACTGAAACATGTAATGGAAGGTCTGTGTGGGGGAAAAATGAACACAAATATCACAACAAATATACTCTAAGAGGAGATGCAACTTACTTAGGAAAACATATTCATGGATGGCAGTGGATGGTGAATCCATTCTGGAACTTATTCTATACTTTAAAGAAGCCAGGCAAAATATGGATCCCAGCCACAAAGTAGAGTAAGTCCTTTAAAGTTTGGACAAAACCCAGAACAGAGTCATCATTCTACTGATAAAGATCTCACAAGCTACTTTTGAGGTTTCCTTCAGCAAAGTCAAGAGCAAGTTGAAGGAAATCACTCAGTCTTATCAGCAACATATGTAATATAGTTCAACTTATATTGGTTGAGTACATATTAATGAAATACTGCAGCATAAATGAGCATAGTCTAAAATATATTATGTTATTATGCTCCAATACATAGTGCCTATTACCTGCACAAACGCATGTGTGCACTTCAAGATAAATGTATTAAGAGGCCCCTCTCATACATTTCCTTAATTAATTCTATTACTATTGTAGTGTCTACAGAGACACTTTTGTTAGTCTTCAAAGCACATTATCTCTTTAATCCTTGCAAATACATTCAAGTAGAACACTATCATTAGATATAGAAGGTCAAAGCGATAGTAAATAGCATCACAGTCCTATACATACTAAAAAAATACTGAGTTTAACTGGGCTTACTCCAAGGTACTTGGGCTTCTAAATGCACCCTAGGACAATACAATGAGTTCCAAGCTGAGTAGACATTTGAACAGACACATGTTTACTACCACACCACAGTACAACTTTTCAAATACATCCAGAACTAAATGCTTCCTTCCAATGCTGTACAGCTCTATCAGCGCTGTACTGCCTTTTGTTTTCTCCCTTTGGATGTATGATTAGGCTACATCTAAGTAAACTAGTACAGAACACAGACTGACACAAGATAAATAAACAGCTGCTGCCCACAGAACACAGAGCAAGTTGTTACCTCCTCAGATTGTGGCAGCTAGTGAGAGATGTGGGTGACAAATGAATGGACACATTAATGAATGGACAACTAGATGAATGGATGAATGGCAAGCTTAATGAAACATGCAGCAGCCAACAAGACAAATGCAAGCAAGAAACATAATAGGAAGAGACTGATTACTAATGAGCAAAACCATTGCACGCAGATTCCAAACAGCCCAGAGCCAAGACGAATAGCAGGTTGCATAGCTGATAATCTCAGGTATGCAGAGGATGGCAAAACAGAAAATTTCATCTCTGCTTTCTAGATAAGGAAATAGCTACACGGATTTCAAGGTCAAATTCAGGTCTGAGGAGAGGGGCTCTTTGGTGGAGCCTTTCCCTAATTGTGGGCTTATGTGACACATTCAAAAAATGCCCCAACCAGGTCCAGGCAAATGGCTCTAGATGCCATTTAACTCTTTACTGCTGCAACCTGAGAACCATAACTCATTGGAAACTGATGTTTCCATTGAGATGAAATCCCTCTCTGGTTTGGGAGGAGTGACTTTTGTCAGAGACACAAACTTCCTCCTCACCTGCCTTGATTCTGGTTATTATCAGTACACCCCAGCAGCGATTTGTATTTTAAATATCAAACACATGAATATATAACTTAATTATAGTCCGCAGACCAGCCTCTGTGTCTGTGTGTCAGTCACTTTATGGCAGCCACATAAATCCATAGTTACAGAATAAATAATATTAAAATTATCAGGTACAAATTACATGTCTGGGAAAATTCCAAGGTATGTTTATGCTGGGTTGCTGTGAGTTTTCCAGGCTGTGTATGAGGGGGTGCTGATAAGTCTTTGGTTTTACCCAGAAGGAAACGAGATAGGAAGATGAAACTTTACATGTATTCCACATACTCTCCACTGATATCAACACACTTCTTACATTGGTATTCCAAATTTTGTAAGCCTTGCAAAAAGAAGGATTTCGGTTGTGCCTCAAACCACTCATCCGTAGCAGCCATGGCATCAGAACTAGTGTGAAATTTGGTACTCTTGAGGTGTTTCTTCAGGTTTGGAAACAAATGATAGTTGGAGGGAGCTAGATTTGGTAAATGAAGTGGGTGGTCAACCAGCTGGAAGCCTGGCTCCACTAGTTTTGCCATGGTTGTTTGTGCAGTGTGAGCGGAGGCGTTGTCTTGCAGGAACAAGATTCCTTTGGACAGCTTGCTGCGCCTTTTGGCCTTCAGAACTGCCTTCAATTCATCCAAAAGTTTAGTGTAATACCTTGCATTGATGGTGGAACCATTTTGAAGGTAGTCCACTAGCAGCACGCCCTCCTTATCCCAGAACACAAACGCCATCACCTTAGTGGCTGATTTTTGCACCCTGAACTTCTTTGGACGAGGAGAACCACTGTGCCTCCACTCTTTTGACTGCTCATTGGTTTCAGGGTCATACAAATAAACCCAGATCTCATCCATATTGACTAGTCAATTCAGGAAGTTCTTATCAATCCGGAAATGCTGACAAATGGACTGGGAAGTTTTCACTCGCATGCTTTTCTGATGTGTTGTCAAACATTTGGGGACCCACTTTGCAGAGAACTTTTTCATGTTCAAATGTTCATGGATAATGACACAAACACATTCATGAGAAATCCCCATGATGTCCTCTATTTCTTTAGCTGAAATTCGCTAATTCTCCAGTATGAGGTTGTGCACAGCATCGACGATCTCCAGAACAACCACCACTCTCGGTTGTCCAGGACGTTCCTCATCATTGGTGCTGAAGTGCCCCATTTTAAATTTGGCAACCCAGTTCTTAACTGTAAAATATGAAGGGCATTGATCTTCCAATGTCTGCAACATATCACCATGAATATCCCTTCTTTCCTTGCAGAAACAAGAATTTTATCACTCCTCTGCTCTCATTTGCTGTGAATATCGCCTTAGACTCCGTCATTTTGTTTTCCCACGTGCCTAGATGACTGTTGCCATAAGCTACAACCACAAAATTTTGCAAACACATATGAGACACATAAGGCTTTCATGTGATGTAACATTCATTATCATAGAAACAAAAAAAGAACACAAAGTCAAAGACTTATCAGCAGCCCCTTGTACTGTGACAGAAACCTAAGTGTAAGGAGCATATTAGAGCCTACTGGTATTGATAAAATTACTAAGACAATTTAGTAAGTTGATGCCTAGTAGAAGTTTCTAAAACACAAATGAAATTTCAATTATGGAAACTAAAAGAAGAGGTTAGAATAGAAATGAGCCAGACACAATGACTGCAAGAGATATGTCCCTGATAAAAGGACTAATGGCTAAACACTGAAATGAGCCAAAGTGAAGGCTCTGTGCTATTGAGGAATTTCTAGGGCATAAGATAGAGGCTTAGACAAAAGCTACCCAACTGCCAGGTAGCTAAAATTCCAAATCCTATCTTCCAAAAGGACTACATTCCTGATCCCATCTTTGGCTCACAAAACTTTCATATGTAGCAGAACTGCGGGGTAAACCTCACATTGGCATTGCATCTCAATAACTTTCATCCAGCTGGAAGAAAAAATATCCAATAAGATCAAATGAGTTTTTCTTTTTGCCAGGGATGGCCATAATCCACCAGAGAACTTTCTCTCACTTTAAAATATTTTCACCTTAATTCAGAATTTAGTTTAAGATGAAACCTCACTTCCACATATTTCATTTGAAGTGAAATTTAAGCAGAAGCACTAATTTGTGTCACAGTGGTCGCACTACCAAAGAGACAAGCCACTGCTTAGTTTTAGAAGTAGCTTGTCTCTTTAGCGGAAGAAAAAAATGCCATAAAACTAGGAATATACAGCTGTTTGTAGTTTTCCCCCCTGAGACAAACCTTTCCTTTCGATCCTAGCCATGGTCATTAAGGACAATACATGGCACCTCAATGCATGTCACTTCTCCCCGTATAACAGATAACAGAGTACCTTCCTGCAGCTGCAATGGTCTGGAGAGTCAATGACCCATTTCCTGAGATAAAACTAATCTCTCTTCCTGTAGGTAATCCCCTGTAAGTGTTTCTATATAGTTCGCAGGAGACAGGGATGTTACTTAAATCATGCTATGCCAGGTGATTAGATCTGAGTTCCTATATCACGGTGGAATTTGAAGGATATAAATCAGAACTGAGGAGTGACAAATGTTTCTGTCAAGGATATTTTAGCTGTGGATTCTTTCACATAGCAGAGGTTGTACTAGATACCCTTGGAATACTTTCATCTCTATGAGTCTATAATATGTTCAGATATCTTTTTGGAATGCAATATTGTTTGCTTATTTCAGAAAACATTATGTGGTGACTCTGTCTTTCATATGTCTTAATATCTGCCAGTTGGAAAGTTATTTCAAAAAATACTTACTGCACTGTCCATGTATGCTTCAGTCCATATGATGTCATGATCATGGTTGATAACCATTGGTCGACTGAGTACATGTAAGTACTCCATTACATTCTCCTGGACATCAGCCAAAGTGGATATTTGTGTGTAATAGCCTTAAACAAAGAAATATTATATTATTGTTATTATCATCATCTCCATCATCATCATTACCATCATGCTTCCCCCCACCCCAAATGGGATTCTAAGGGACCCAAAATTGGGACGCAGGTAGCTTGCCCAAACTTGCTCACACATACATACATACACATACACACACACACACACACACAATATAGTTAATTTCTGTTAATTGCATATCTGGAAATATGGCAACATTATATGTTCATGCAACCATTTAGCTAGCACACACCCCTAGATGTTTCCATATATTCTGGCAAGTGTGGCAATTTCTGGCAATTTCAGCTAATTTGGGTATCCATCAGAGTAGAATCTCAGCATCTCAGCCAATTTGTGAGGACAATTCCCATTTTTATGCAGTTTCAAGCGTTAGAGTGAAGACTTGACTGAGTATTTATTCTCTTTCTTGCCCCTTCTTCAAAAATTTTCCAGGCTCAAATTATGCCTGGATACAAAGATCCAAAAAACCGATGACTATTGTTTGTTTACAATGAATTACTCACAGAAAAATATGAAGGCAAAGAAATGTACTTTACCTTTGTTATTACAAGCTATCCATTTGACATTCTGCGCAAAGCTGACTTCCCTCCCAATAAGATATGTAAAAACTCGAACCTGTGTTATAAGAGTGCAGATATTAGCATTAGACATTAAAAACACTAAACATAGGCATATTGTAGCTATTCCACTACAGTCCTTTCTTTGGTTGACCTCAGTCACTCTCTAAGAATTGTTGTGAAAAATAAAACAAAGGCATGTATGCCAGTTGTTATGATATAAATGTAACAAATAAATATTTCACCTTGAAGCAAAACAATGCTATTCCTTGGATGGACTAAATCCTATGTCATATTAACCCGGGAATGTTTGTTTTGACCTAGTAATTTCATGTTTTATCTAGATTTTCATTGTCAAATGGCACACCTAATACATTTTTTCAAGATGTTATGGGATCATCTCATTCCCTGGGAGGTTTTTGGTCTCCTTCTCATCAACCAATCAGGTAAAAAACATAAACCAAACTGCTCTGCTTATAGAAATCCCTTTCTTCCTTGTTCAAAGAATTATCTCCCCAATCATATGCATACCACTTCTGGGTAGATTGTGCAATGTTTCGCAAAATTGTCATGCCTAATGCAATTTTTCTACATGTTATACATGGATTAGGCACCTCTTCACCAAAGCAAGGCCAGAGAAAAAGCAATCATCATTGTTGCTACTGGAAAATACATTCCATTTACCTGGAGCTTCATTAGCATGTTTTAACTGACTTCATACAGAACTGGTCATACTACACAAGATGGTCACCAATACTAGCCCAAACTGAAATGTGTCCCAGATGTGAGCACTTACTATCCATGTGATCTAAGTGGGAATCAAAATGTCTTCGGACCAAGAGGAGCTCCAACCATTTTAAGTATCTCCTAGCATACCATCTTCAGAAATTTCCATTTAGTTTTGGTGTAGTATCTAAATTAATCACTTTAAAAATAAAGCTGATGTGTACAGGATGTATCCTTTTAAGATACACAACAGGTTGTACAACATTCTGTTGTAGGTATGAGACCTCTACATCAATGCAAATGACTCATTCTCTGCCTAGCTCTTATCACGTTCAAACCATCCCACATACACCCTTTTAACTGGTCATTTCATGCCCTCAAATGGAAAAACACTATGTCAGAAAGTATTAATACCCAAGAAGCATTTGATAAGATTAATTATCTGAATTAGGCACAAGACAGCAGCTAGTACCCTAAATATCCCATCATGTGAACTCAGTGATTCATGATATTTGAGAATTTTGGCCCACAAAGCAAATTCTTGGATCATAGCAGAGCTAGAAATAGGTTCACTTCTATTCTTTCCCTTTCAAATGGCTGATATTTGCATTTCAATCCCCTTTCCCTTTAATCTTTCCTTCCTTCTTCCCACACATGCTAATAAGATTTACCCACAACTCTGTGGATTTACTTTTCTGCACTATCTCTACCTAATTAGACCTCTCACATGTCTAGTCCTGTCTATCTTATACATGTCTATCTTGTACACCTTGAATTCTCCCATTTCTCTGTTTAGAGACAGCCTCTTCTACTCCCTTCCAAAACATTCTCAATTCATCTGTCCATTGCCAAATTCCTGCACAGACCTAACAAAATAGATAATGGTCTTATGCATATGCATGCCTGTCCATTTATACACGCTTTCTATTTTTATAAGAAACCACATTCTATTATTCTGATTTCCATCTACTGCTTGTTTTCCCATATGGACATGCCAAATCCTGCTTCTCGATACTGGCTAAAGATCCAAATGTGTGTTATGAAGATCATGTGTATATGTATACATGAAGATGCAAATAAAGCTCATGCCATCATATATAAGTAGGTATACCTCCCATTCATTAGCCTGAGTTTGAGTCATACAGGGCTTTACAGATAAAACCCTTTGAATTGTGTCTACAGCCAGTGAAGTTGTTACAATAAGATCTTCCTTCCTTCCTTCCTTCCTTCCTTCCTTCCTTCCTTCCTTCCTTCCTTCCTTCCTTCCTTTCCAAACCTGCCTTTCTCTCACTGCAGGATGCAGGGTGGTTCATAATATTAAAAAAAGTGGTTCCCAACCTTTTTTTTGACCAGGGACCACTTTGACGAGGGACCACTCTCCAAAAGGGTTACAAATCAGTTTTTGGTCAACTTTAGATTTGATTTGGTTATTTGGGGTGCTGATTCAGAAAACTGCATTGGATAGGCCACATCATCTCTAGTTTCTGATACAGAACATATGCCATCCATCTGCACACCCACAGAAAACCATATTTAATAATCTAGAGTTGATGTGGTAATAGTAATCTTTCATTGGTAGTCAGCCTCTCCCCTCCCGACATCCCCGTTGTCTCAGCACGATAAGAGGGTCTCTGCATGATTTTGAGGCATCAGTGTAGTAATGGTGAGGCCACCGACCATATTTAAGTTCTTGCGGACCACTGATGGTCCACGGACCACAGGTTGGGAACGACTGTATTAAAGTAACATATAGCTTAAAACCAGTCACTTATAACACAGAGTAATTTTATAAACCAATTAATCAAGCATTCTTATTTGCTGTTGAGAAGATTTAAGTATTAAAACCTTTTTCTTATGCCATATAAATCGAATGCTTGCTGAAATGCATTAGCAAGACTAATCTCACATTGAATCTAAAGCAATATTTAGTTGGGAATATAAACATCTCAAATGCTACTCCACACTTTCCTTCCTCGTTTTGCAGACATGATTCAGATCATCAAAGCAGCCCTTCTTCCATTTGTCACTCTGCAAACTAACCTTCCGATCAGGCCAGTTAAATTTTTCAAAGACATATTCATAGTCTTCCATGGCTCCATCTGTGATCAGCATGATAGCTTGGTTACAAAGGCCTCCTTGACCAGCATTTCTGAACTACAAACAGAAAGGAACTACAGTGAGAAATACTTACACAGTTTGGCATTTATCTGACTGCTACAGAAGAGGATTAAATTAGTTCACTTGGAAAGGTACTTGGAAAGGTTATTAAGAGTGTTTGCTAGATTATACAGTTATTTAAAAACCCTTAATTAAGACCTAGGGAAAACTCCCATCTATCTTAATGAGAATGCTGCTGTGAAACAGGGCCTTGCTAAAAACCTCATGATTCAGAATGCATTATTACCCAAGGATCCAGACTGATGATTGATTTCTGAAAGGCCTTCTGAGAAACTAAGGCATTTGTAGTGAAAATTCTCTTTAATCCAAGATATGTTGGGGCTTACTGTGATTATTTACTGTGGGGAGTAAGGAAGAACTTTGCACATTTCTAGAGGCGCGTGTTCAGTGATTATTTCAAATGAGCTGTGGGATGGAAAATCTATCCTGGGACTCAGCCCAGGCTCAACCTAAGCCCTGTTCCAGGGAATCGTATTTGCTTGACAAGGCATACGTGCCTTTTTTTCAAAGTTGCTCTTCTAATGCAGGCACTTCAACCAAAATCCAATATTTTGTGAATGCAAAAATTAAAGCACCCTCTCAAATAGAATACATATTGCTAATGTGAATTTCTGCAAAACTGATGTCTATTAAATCAGGGCTTCTTTAACTTTTTTCACTTGTGACCACTTTCTGCCCAAGATGGCCATCTGTCAGGGGTGATTTGAATGCAATATTCCTGCTTCTTGGCAGGGGGTTGGACTGGATGGCCCATGAGGTCTCTTCCAATGCTATGATTCTATGATTCTAAGATATTTATACACAAACCTGTGTTTACAGGTATATATAATGTATATACAAATAAACTATTTCCTGATTATAAATTAGCATTTGCAAGGCTTGCTAAACGGAATGATTTTCCTTTTTGTGGAGTACAGATGAAGCATTTTCAGCAGAGTCCACTATAAACACTGTATGTTGTTGATAATAGATTTGTGTAAATGAGTCGCATACAGAAATCTTTTACTGTGGCCAAATATTTTGCGGCCCCAACATTGAGCCAAGAGGACCCATTTGGGGTCAGGATCCATAGTTTAAGAAGCAGTGTACTAAATGTCTTCAGTAAAGGATTACTGCCTTGTTGTGGCACTGGAGCTTGAGCGCCTCAATGAAGTCACGAGCGAAACTGTGAAGGGCCACCCAAGACGGGATGGTCGTGGCAGAAAAGTCAGACCAAGCGCGATCCCTGGGGAAAGCAATGGCAAACCACCCCAGTATTCTTGCCAAGAAAACTAAATGGACCAGTACAACCAGAGATATGTCGGTATGCCATTGGAAGATGGGACTCCCAGGTTGGAAGATGGTCAAAATGCTACTGGGGAGGAGCAGAGGATAAGTTCAACTAGCCCCAAATGTGCAGCTAGCTCAAAGCCGAAAGTCACCTATAGATGTAAGAGCTGGACCATAGGGAAGGCTGAGTGAAGGAAGATAGATGCTTTTGAACTGTGGTGTTGGAAGAAAATTCTGAGAGTGCCTTGGACCACCAGAAGATCCAACCAGTCCATACTTCAGGAAATAAAGCCCGACTGCTCATTGGAGGAAAGGATAGTAGAGGCAAAGATGAAGTATTTTGGCCACATAATGAGAAGACAGGAACGCTTAGAAAAGAGACTTATGCTGGGGAAAATGGAAGGAAAAAGGAAGAGGGGCCGAACAAGGACAAGATGGATGGATGGCATCTTTCAAGTGACTGGCTTGACCTTGAAGGAGCTGGGGGTGCTGAGGCTGACAGGGAACTCTGGAGTGAGCTGGTTCATGAGGTCACGAAGAGTCGGAAGTGACTGAACAAATGAACAACAACGTATTAAATGATTTGACAGTTGGCAGTGAGAAATACCAGTTCTTTGTTAAGTCTACAGAATATTTTAAGTGCCTATTCTCCATAGGAAAGCAGGATAGATATACCTGACCTCTGGCCAAATATTCCTAGAAGTCAGGAACAAGAGTAATAATTTTGCCACCAAACACTTATCTCTCCCCATGACATTTTGGAACATTATGGTTCTTAAATACATTTGCAAATATCTTCATATTGGGGGATCAGAATTTTTATGGGTATGAATTTAATGAAATATTTTTGATTATGTCATTTTTAAAGAAAGCACAATTGGTGTAGCTGTACATTATTTAAAAGTGCAAATGAGTTGTAGTGTTGCAAAACAGAGTAGTTCCAAGCTAGCTCACTCCATTCGCGAAATACTAGGCTGAGGATCCAGGTTTTGACTGTGTGCGTGAACTTGGCTCAGGGAATATATGCACTTTAATTATGTCACTGACAGTCTTAGCAATGAAAGACTCTTCACGCCGTCAAATGCCTCCATTCTAGCCCCTTTCACCTCTACTGTTATTTGGAAAACAGACCCAATCAATCTCTATATGCTCACAAACCACTGAAGAATTGGCACAATGCTGAAATAGGAAGGACAGTGTTCCAATTAAATTCAGTGCCCAACTTAACAATATCAGCACTGAGAAAATAAAATTTGGGAAGTGCCAAGACCTATTGAAGTTACCTGTTCTCACATAGTTTATGTTAGTTACAGGATTTACTGCTTGACCTCACAAGTCAAATCTATAAACCATCTTTCTTTATCAGAGACTTTACAACACAGAGACATCACCACTTCAAAGCTATCTTGAGACATACCCTTAATAAATTTATGTGTATGTGTGTGCGTGCACGCACACACACACATATACATACATCAATGTTCCTAAAATAACAGTGTCCAATCATGTCACCATCATACTTTCCCTTGTAGTTTCAGCCAATATGCTCATCATCAGCTTTTGGTGCTGTCACAAAAGGTTTCCGTCATGGTCACCCTTCCTTCAAAGCCCAAGCATTGCCATGATCACTGCAGTGCTTCAGGACGTAGAAGGAAGGTGGCATGTCCTTTTTTAAAAAGGAAAAATCCCAAAGCCCACATTTTTACAATTTCTTTTACCTCTCTCAATATTCTGAAGGCTTCTGTCAGGGCCTTGTTCACTGTCCCAACTCCTTTTGCTTGTAACTCGTCCACCAGCTGCTTGAAATGCTAAATAAACAAGACCAGAAAGATATTCTTACGGCAGTGAGTATAAACATGAAACAGAGGGCAATGCAGGGACAGTTACATACCAGGAGCAGGAAAATATTTGAGTCTCCTTATGTATCAACACAGAGATAATGTACAAGTAGGCATCTCCATTGATTCAGGTACTGAGGCATTTCCATGCCAGGGAAGCATGAGTCTACAGTAAGATTGCAAGATCTGTTGTTCTTCCTGGGAGTTTTTTTGTTGTTGTTGTACAACAAAGTATCTTTTATAAGCTTTAGGTGAAATCTGTGCATGTTTAACTGGATGAAAGCCAATACAGTAGAGTCATCCTTCGCTCATCCAACGTTCTGTATTATCCAATGCAGTCTGCCTCCCACCTGGATCCACAGCTGTTTCAATACATTGCGATGTTTTGGTGCTAAATTTGTAAATGCAGTAAATACTACATAACGTTACTGTGTATTGAATGGTTTCTTCTGTCGATTTGTTGTAAAACATGATGTTTTTGGTGCTTAATTTGTAAAATTTGATGTTTAATAAGCTTTTCTTTAATCCCTCCTTATTAACCAACCTTTTCACTTATCCAACGTTCTGCCGGCCTGTTTATGTTGGATAAGTGAGACTCTACTGTATAAGTGTGTTGTTTTAGTGTGTCCAACTGCCCATGCTATTTATCTCCCTTGTTTTTTCTTAGCTTGCACATTGATTTACTTATGCATCTCAAGGCTGCAATTAAAAACTTATCCAATACTAACCTCTCTGTTATCTCGGTCAGCCTGAACCAGAATCCCCTTAAAACAGGATTCAACATAATGAACATAATCATTGTACTGTAAAGACAAAAAGGAAAAAAAAACGCACTCAATATTAGGATTTCTTTAAAGTTACTAAAGCATTAGCAGATACTGTCATGAATAAAGAATAGCCCCTACAGCTGCACACTATTCTCATAGCTTTTACAGCAAAGTACATATTTTACAATGAAGGATTCTACAAAGTGCCTCTCAATGCTTTTTTTGAAATAAATCTAGAAGTGGATGCATAGTTAACAGTTTTTTTCCAGAAAAAAATGGAAGAGTATGCAATGGCAACAAAATGTGATTTAACATCACTGGGCTGCTAATCTTCTCTTTCTTTCTTCAACTCCATACATAAATTTCCCTGGTTTTAAAAAAGAATTGTGACTGTGTTTGTCTCCCTACCATTCCCGATATGAACTAAGCAGCTTAGTTTGCTTCTTACAGAATATTTTCTCCCTCAGTTGGTGGCTATTACCATTGCTGGTGCAAAATGTATTCAGAAATTGAGAGAGTTAGGACAACATTGGAAAACATGGGGAATAACCTGGAGCACTGAGAACAGGAGATGACACCTGAATAATTTGGTTCTGAATGAACATCTTGCTACTTGGCTGTAGTTTGAATGTGACCATATTGTGATACAATTGTGTATGTTGCTTGTAGAACTTTTGCGCCTTCTAAAGCAGGTATGGGCAAACTTTAGTCCTCCATATGTTTTGGACTTCAACTCCCACGCTGTTAGGAATTGTGGGAGTTGAAGTCCAAAACATATGGAGGACTGACGTTTGTCCGTGCCTATTCTAAAGTAACACATAATTATTCTGGATAAACTATCACTATGAGAAACATTGTGACCACAGAATAATCATGTCCTCCAGTCTCATCATTTCTAGTCAGTCCTCTCTCACAGTTAAATGTACTCTTCCAGTCTCACAATTATTATTTTTTCCCCATTGAATCTATAGATGTTGGGAATTATTGGGTGTTGCCTCCTTCCTTTCCTTAAGATGATACAAATTGTAAGAACTGCTGAGAAAGAGAGCCTCAACTTGATGTTCATGTGGAATTTGCTGTGGGATTTTGTCTCTTTTCAAAAGCAATAAAGAACAGAGAAAATATCTGAACAGTGTTCTACATATCCAATTACAAAAATTATATGCAGATCTTTAATATTATGAGACGTAGTTTACAATAAGAATGAGGTTATTGTGGTGAAAGCTCTTAAAATTTGAACAATTCACAGCAAATAGCAGGAGCAAACCTAAACCAAAGAGAAAACGAGCCAATTCTGTGGGTTGGGACACATTAGGATAATTTTCTGCAGACAGCTTTGTCTCAAAGCAAGCTACTTACGTAGCAAATGAGGATAATTTTGAAAAGCTGGTTACTTGAGGACAGAAGCTTGAAACACTGCTTATGCTTTTCCTGATGAGGGGTCAGGGAAGTGTAGAGGAGGAGAAGCGCAGCTGGTAGATCTGCTGCCATGGGGCAGCTAATTCACTTGGGATTAACTGCTACTACACCTGCATTTACAAGAGGTTGAACAGGAGCTCTGCTAGTGTCAGGCACCACTCCAATAGCAGCAGAGTTCCTATTCAGCTTGGAGCAAGAAATGCAAGGTCATTCCAGCCTTGATCATCCATAAGAGCTTGACTAGCCAAAGGATTAAAATACATGCTCAACTGACTGCTATCATCAAGAAGCACAGAAATGAAAGAGAGCCCCATGCTGCAGAGAGAGGAAGGAAGGACCAGCAAATGATCCCAATGATGGTTGGAACACAGGTGAGCAAGGGAATGAATACCGAGCAGTGACCCCGGAGAACAGGACAAAGTTATGCCTATCTATCAGAATATAAATACATCTGTGTGTATACAGCCAGCATGGTGTAGTGCTTTGAGCATTGAGCTATGACCCTGGAGACCAGGATTTGATGCTTCACTGAACTACGGGAATCCACTGGGTGGCCTTGGGCATGATTTGACAACCTCTTTCAACCTCAGAGAAAAGCAAAGGCAAACCCCCTCTGAACAAATCTTGCTAAGAACCCCCTGTGATAGGTTCACTCTAGCATCATCATAGGTCAGACAAGACTTGAAGGCCTACAGCAACATTATATATGTGTGCTTATATGTGAAAGATGTTGACAGAGAAATTGCATACTCAATGTGTAGAGCAGATATTTTCCAAACATTTCATGTGGGTGAAATATTTTTAGATATGCATTATTTTGTGACGCAGTAATTAAACCCCTTAAGACAATCTGGGGAGGCCTTGCTCTCGGTCCCACCCCTTCGCAGGTGCAACTCATGGTGACGAGAGACAGCACCTTCTCAGTTGTGGCTCCTCAACTATGTAACTCTCTCTCCAATGATATTAGATCAGCGCCCTCCTTCTTGTCCTTCAGAAAAAAAGTAAAAACTTGGCAATGGGACCAAGCCTTTGGGCAGTAAGCAATACAATTAATGATCAGGGATTATGTACAACTGATATTTGACATTTGAAATGGCCATGGACCATGATTTTTGGATTATGTGATTTTAATGTTTATATTAATATGCTTTTAATGTTTAAATGTTGTTACATTTTAATGATCTAATCGATAGTTATATGTTATTGTTGTTTCATGTTAAGTTTTGCCATAAATACGTTGGAAACCACTTTGAGTTCCCCCCTGGAGTGAGAAAAGTTATATACAAGTGAAGTAAACAAATAAACAAATAAATTATAAGAGATATGGACACATATATAAATTGGAACAATGAAATCTGCAGGGACACAACATCTCTCAAAAAGGCCTTTGATATTGCTTATTTCGTACAGACTTATTTTGTTTGCACAACATATTGACACACTGCTGCCAATATATTAACACAGAACTTTTTGAACATTTCATGCTGGTGACATAATTTTTATACATGCATCATTTCATGACACAGTAATTCAGTGTTACTAGTAAACCGAAGTGAAACCAACCCCTTATAAAATATATGGACACTTAAATTATAATAATTAAATGCATGGGGATGTAACATATCATATGAAAACCTTTCATTTATATTTTTGAAAATATATGATTTGTTGCTTATTTCACATACGCTCAGAGTTTCTCATTACACTCCTGTGACACACCTACACACTGTAGCTGACGCACTAATGTGTCACAACACACAGTTTGGAAAGCTCTGGTTTAGAGCTTTATTGTGTAAAACGACAAAACAACTGCTGCCTCAGATTTTAAACTGCTGCTCAGAATTTAAAATTCATTGCCTCCAAGTGTAGTAGAGTTTCCTTCTGTGAGGTTTTTAAACAGAGACTGGGTGGCCACCCGTTCGGAGTGCTTTGATTGTGTACTCTTACATGGTTGGGGTTGGACTGAGTAGCCCTTGTGGTCTCTTCCAAGTCCAAGGGCAAAGGAGATCTTTAGAAAGTAAATCTTTGGCATCTTTATCTGTCCCATCCCAGGTGTCTTTCCTTTCTGCTTCCTGAATGACAGAGAGTTCAAACTAGCTGCTTTGTTCATTATTATTTGTATTTTTGAAGGCTGAGGATGTGAGGATTCTCTTGTCTTTTAATCCCACGAAAATTGCTCTTGAGAGTAAAAGGTTTGTCCAAGCCTGTTCAAAGTCTTAATCAAATAGCAACAGACTAAATTTAGCAACTGGCATTAGTTTCTGGTATAGACAGCCAAAAACCGAGGTGCCTTGGGGTCTATGTTCCAAAACATTTTCTGCCTGAAACAAGCACAAACTAAGGGAAGGGTTTCAGTTAAGAAACTTGTGTTTTCTGAGTTCACGGTCCTTTCTGGGCAGAAAGTTTTTTTTACAAAATTGTGAAACCAAAAATCAAAAAGGTCTCGTTCACAAAGAGGATGTTTAAACACTTACAGCGATTATGTTCACAAAGTCATTTTCTCCCAGTGTGTCCAAAATAGTGACAATGGTGTGCTTGGCAATGGTCAGCAGAAGTCCCTTCATACTCCCACTGATATCCACCAAAATGACAATATCTTTGGGTGATGTGGCTGCCTGGATATACCTTGACAGGAACAGGAAAGGGAAGCAATCAATATAAAGTAAATGTGCAAGCAAGGCAAACAGGAAGATGTCATGGATATCATGGAATACAATACACTGATTAGAAGAAAAGATGAATACCTGAAGTATGGTAGATTCAACCATGGTAGATTCTACCACCCTTTGGTTGACCAAAGGAAGGTTTAATCAAAAGTAATTTGTTCCTTTCACATTTCACTTGATGATTCCAGGATGCATCTCCTACTGATACAGGATGCAATCCTACGAGGATTGAATGAAAAGTAATGCCTCCACCTTCATTACTTGGGTTTGGATGGGAATATTTTAATAAACCAAACGCAGAAATAATTCTTAGAATGTGCTCTTTAACTACCACTATTCAATTTTCCGCATAATCACCAGACAATTGTATACATTTCTGCCAATGATGAACAATTTTTCTGAAGCCATCACGGAAGAAGTCGATACTCTGTTTCCGCAACCAGCGTCTCACAGTTCTCTCATCCTGGTTACCCATCGTGCACAGATCTTCCGATAGCCAAGCAAAGCAATAATGTGACTCACACATTCTTGTGAAATGCCGATTATGCTTGAAATTTCTCTCTAAGTGACATGGCGATCATCCTGAATCAATCTGTCAACCTTTTGCTTGTGAAACTTGGTGGTTGCTGTCACAGGACATCCAACTCTTTGTTCATCAAGCAAGTCAGATGTTCCCACCTCAACATCTTTAAACTTACTTGCCCAATGACACAGAGTACTCACATCAACACAATCACCATCAAAAGCCTGCATTCTCTGATGAATCTCCTTTGAGGTGACACCTTCTGCTGTCAAGAATTCAATGACTGCACGTTGCTTAAGTTGCATTGACCAACCATCTGCACAGGGTTCCATCCTTTAACAACACAACCGTTCAATGCTAAGGCTTCCCACCAAAATGGAACTATAGAGGAGAGTCTACTGAATAAGCCAGTACCTGCCACATACCAGTACTGCCATCTGTTGAGGAGTTACGAAGGTGGAGGCATTACTTTTCATCCAACCCTTGTATATCCATACCCTAGAGCAGTGGTTCTCAACCTGTAGGTCCCCAGGTGTTTTGACCTACAACTCCCAGAAATCCCAGCCAGTTTACCAGCTTTTAGGATTTCTGGGAGTTGAAGGCCAAAACATATGGGGACCCACCATGAGATGCAGAGCCAACCTTCAGAAATGGGGCTACAAAGTGGAATCCTCGACATGCGAGTGCGGAGAAGAGCAAACCACTGACCACCTGCTGCAATGCAACCTGAGCCCTGCCACATGCACAATGGAGGACCTTCTTGCAGCAACACCAGAAGCACTCCAAGTGGCCAGATACTGGTCAAAGGACATTTAATCAACTACCAAACTCACAAATTTTGTATTTTGTCTGTTTGTTTGCTTTGTTCTGTTAGAAATGTAATATAATTTGACTGGTTGTCCTGACACGACAAATAAATAATGGGGACCCACAGGTTGAGAACCACTGCCCTAGAGAGTTAGTTCCATTGAAATCAATGAATTGTACTTCTATGCAAACATATGCAGGATTGGAGTGCTACTGTAATTTCTCTGCTCCTTTGAAGTGCTGCAGAGCTTAGCAAACAAAAGAAAAAATAATGAAATCTGGGTAACTAAAAGATAATGTCTACTTTTAATGCCTTTATATTATATATTCCTATATGGAAAGAACAGTCGCTTGGCTCCTTCCTATACTATTAGATATCCTGAGCCTTCTGAGAATACCTCCTAATGTAGTGGTTCTCAACCTGTGGGTCCCCATGTGTTTTCGTCTACAACTCCCAGAAATCCCAGCCAGTTTATCAGCTGTCAGGATTTTTGGGAGTTGAAGGCCAAAATATCTGGGGACCCACAGGTGGAGAACCACTGTTCTAATGTAATCTTGGGGTTAGTTGGCTGCAATTATTACAAAAATCAAAGATGGGTGGCTGTAAAGAGAGTCATGCAGAAAAGGTGTTATAAGGTCAGTAGTGAAATCCAGACTAGGCCATCTGCCTTTAGCTGTAGAAGAGCTATTTCCACTTTTTATGTGTTTGTGTGTGTGTGTGCATCAGTGTGGACATGAATAGAAAGCAATTTCAACATTCCCTTTAGACTCTAGGAAGCCTATGATGACATGAAGGAGGAAAGGATAAAACAGAACAGAGCACTTTGACAATATTTAGGTCATGATTCAAAAGTGAAAAGTAGAAAAGTATATCTTAATGCAGTTTGTTGAGAAAGAGACTTAAGCACTTAAACTCTGCATGTTGAAAGAAGGGGCAATACACTCTATTGAATATTTTCATGTCAAAGTTTGCATACTTCTTTGCCATTCTTTATTCTTGAAATAATATTAAAGAAGGCAGAGAAAACAACAGTTAAGTTAAACACAGGATAAGATTTCATCGATATTTTTAAGATACAGAAATACCATCACTTAAATCAAAGAGAAAAACATGAAATCTTTTCCAACTCTCTCACCAGCCTCGATTTCTGCAGTCAAAAGAAAGGACTCCGTTGTCATCTGGTGTCCATTTTATTCCTGAAGAAACATGGAAAAATAACTTTGCTGTGGATATGGTGCACAAAGGAAACAATACACTGTACATTTTACTCCAGGAATGTGGCTCCTTGTTTTCTGCTGCCCCGGAGACTAGGAACAATGGCTTCAAACTACAGGAAAGGAGATTCCACTTGAACATTAGGAAGAACTTTCTGACTGTGAGAGCTGTTCACCAGTGGAACTCTCTGCCCCAGTGTGTGGCAGAGGCTTCTGTTTTGGAGTCTTTGAAACAGGGTGGATGGCCATCTGTCGGAGGTGCTTTGAATGCTATTCCTGCTTCTTGGCAGGGGGTTGAACTGGATGGCCCACAAGGTCTCTTCCATCTCTATGATTCTATTATTTGTGACACTTCGCAGTATTTTTATGTCCTCTTGAGATGGAGCAAATGTAAATGCTCATCATATTCTATGAATTATGCTAATTTTAAAAGCAATTCCTGAGGATGAATTCGCCTTTTTCTAGCACATTGTCATTTTCAGTATCCTGAGATTATCCTGCCTTTATACTAGTATGTTGCTTTAAGACAGTGTTTCTCAACTTGGGGGTCGGGACCCCTGGGGGGGGGTCACAAGGGGGTGTCAAGGGGGTCACCAAAGAACATCAGAAAACACATTGTTTTCTGTTGGTCATGGGGGTTGTGTGTGGGAAATTTGGCCCAAATCTATCATTTGTGGGATTCAGAATGCCCTTTGATTGTAGGTGAACTATAAATCCCAGCAACTACAACTCCCAAATGTCAAGGTCTATTTTCTCTAAACTCCACCAGTGTTCACATTTGGGTATATTGAATATTTGTGCCAAGTTTGGTTCAGATCCATCATTGTTTGAGTCCACAATGTTCTTTGGATATAGATGAGCTACAATTCCAGAATTCAAGGTCAATGCCCATCAAGCCGTTGTAGTATTTTATGTTAGTCATGGGAGTTCTGTGTGCCAAGATTGGTTCAATTCCATTGTTGGTGGAATACAAAATGCTCTTTGATTGTAGGTTAACTATAAATCTCAGCAACTACAACTCCCAAATGACAAAAATCAACCCTCCTCCCCAAGCCCACCAGTATTCAAATTGGGGTGCATCGGGTATTTGTGTCAAATTTGGTCCAGTGAATGAGAATACATCTTGCATATCAGATAGTTATGTTACAATTCACAATAGTTGCAAAATTAAGTTAGGAAGTAGCAATGAAAATAATTTTATGGTTGGGGGTCACCACAACATAAGGAACTGTATTAAGGGGTCACGGCATTAGGAAGGTTGAGAGCCACTGCTTTAAGGAATTATACATACACAAGAAACAGATGCTTGTATCCAAAGAACTCACAAACTGGCTTGAAGGAACAGTCAGAATTTGGCAAGAGAAAAAAATGAGGATGACAAAGAATGAATGCTACCACATGCATCTAATGAATGCTAGCACATGCAGTCCAAAGCCATCTTATAGTCCACAATTTCTCCATTTCTCACCCCTGTTGTAAAGGATATATCAGCACAAAAATGTGTGGGTCATGTCCTACTTACGAGGGATCCTTCCAGACAGGTCCAATATCCCAGGATCTGATCCCAGGTTTTCTGTTTATCCCAGATTATCTGGAAGTGCAGACTCATATAATCCAGTTAAAGCAGAAACCTTGGAATAAGATCCTAAGATACAGAGCCTGTCTGGAAGGGCCCTATATTATATCTATATCTTAAACTAGTGGGTCACCAAGTTAGCAATTATCTATTACAAGATTACCTTGTACCCGGTTTCTTTTTCAGCCTCTCCATGCAAACCATCTACTTTATTATCACGCATCATCCCAATCTAGGAGATATGAGCTATGCATAATGGAGAGATCTGCTATCAGCTCTGGTTCTGCCCATCACCTTCCACAGGGCATTGATTCACAGAAGAAGGCTCATCACTAGTCAAGCCAAGCTTGACAGCCAGGGTATTTGACATGGAGACATCTAAATCTGGAATGCATTTTCTGGGGAAAGCGAACAGACTTTTCCTTTCTACATTAAAGCGGGGTCAAAGCAGGCCCTTGACAGTTAGCATGTGGTCCATCCACTGAATATTTTATTAGCTGTTCTAATTGTGATTGTATGACTTTTGACATTCTTTCATTTTGAGTGCTCTTAATGCATTGTGAGATGTCCTCAATATTATACAGAAAAGATAAAAATGTATTAATTAGATAAATACACAACCCTCTCTTGGCATGAGTTGCATAACGGCAATTCCTCTACGCCTTAGAGCAGAACAAAATCAGAAAACATTAAAGTCACAATTAATTGTCCAAGAGCAAGAGTAATTATTTCGGTTTTATAAAGCAATATATATATTTAAAGTAAATAAATGTTTTGTGACTTCCCTCTAAGCACATTAATTCCACTAGGAGTAAATGCAACACAGAGAAATATATGTATTTAAACAGACATTCCCAACCTGGTGCCTACCCGGTTTGTTGGACTACAATTACTTTGATCCCATGGCTATGTTTACGGTGTGGTATCTGGACCTTCAGTTGTATGTATGCATAGCTATACAGCCAGTCTCAGAGTTACAAATATCCAACTTACAAATGACTCATAGCTAAGAATGGGGGTGAGACAAAGGAAGTGAGAGAAATCTACCCCTCAGAAGGGAAATCCACTCCTGGAAGAGTTATCATGGGGGAAAGGTGTCTCCACTGAAGCTTTATTGCCAATCCTTGCTTTCACAACAAGCCAGATTTTTCAAAATCCAGTTATCACAGGGACAGAAAGTAAAGTGAAATCTTCTGAACAGGGGCACGGATAGCAAAACAAACACCACAGGGGTATTCATCCTTCCCTGTGCTATCCAAAACTCTCTCTCTCTCTCTCTCTATATATATATATGGATGGTTGGAGTTACACTTAAAAATGCACCTGTTCTGACATACGTACAAATTCAACTTAAGAACTCATCTACAGAACCTGTTTGTAACTTGTGGACTGCCTGTAATTTAATAACATTCATCAGCATTGTGTCTATCAACAGTCCTCCACATTCATGTGTCTAACTATCACATATGTGATTATTTACACGTTTGCCATTAACAATCCACATTCACTTCTCTTGCTCCGGTGGCATTTCTCCCAAAGAAGGAATATGGGCTGCCTCCAGGGGTGATTTGAATGCAATATTCCTGCTTCTTGGCAGGGGGTTGGACTGGATGGCCCATGAGGTCTCTTCCAACTCTTTGATTCTATGATTCTATGATCTATGATTCTAGACTGTGGTTGTGGCAGAACCCATTCCTGCAAAGTTAAAGGTTTAACAAACCCCAGCTATTGTTTTTTTATGCTTCCCCACATATGGTGAGCATGCCAGCTCCCTTGCAAAGGAATAAGCAGAAGTGCTACAACTGAGAGACTAGCAGGCTCCCCATAGATGGCAGTTTGTGAGGGCCAAGGGGCATTCACATTTTCCTCACTTTTGCATGGTTCCTGTCCTCCTAACCTCCAAGAATGTAGAGGGCTGACTTTCTTCTCTAATAAGGGTGAATGTAATTTCATTACATGACTATGTTGTAGCTGCTATGACAACCACATATAATAAAGATGTAATAATTATAACGAATGGGACTCATGGATCTCCATCATTCACAGGTTCACCATTAATCGAAATCAACTTGATGGCACATAACAACAGCAACACTGTTGACAGAAAACAGGCACAAAGAGGGCAAAGTGAAGCTCTTCTAAATTATATTGATTTCAGAAAGGTATTCTTAGGCATCCATTCAATTCTTTCATTGAAATTGACGGGATTTTCATGTCATAAGCATGTTTATATCCGTGTTCACTAACAACTGCCAATTCAGCACTCATAGAGCATTATAGCTTCAAAGGTGTAAACACTAACTGGCTCATTTACGCTGTATGTTTCTACTATAACATCTCTAAACTGATTCTAGAATTGGATAGTCCTTTTCTCAACATTAAAAAAATGCAGATTTCTGTTAAAAGATCAAGTAAGCATGAGATCTTGTACCTGGATAAAGCCTGAAGAATCCCGTAGAGCTGCCAAAGTATTGCCACGTGAGAGTTGGATCTCTTTCAAAATTGTCCACAAAAATAGGATTCAATGCCTCAGACATATATACCCCATTCAAAATAGCAGGATCTGTGCCAAAACAAGGAAATAATGCAGCAATTTGTTTCAAAAGTGAATTATGAAGGAATAAAAGGTGAAGGTTCTCCATTGGCTCTGGCCTCAGGTCTTTTTCTGAATTGGTATCTGAAATCCTTTAACTGGCGATGTTTGTGATTATATTTGGAATCTAAAGGGCAAACGGCACAGATTTATCACAAAAATAATTCCCTCTGGCTAACTATTGTTTGTGGGAGCTGAAGCTCAAAACATCTCTGCTTTAGTCTAAAGGCACAAAGCATGTGCCCTTTCCTTGAAAGAAGAAGCATTCTTAAGTGGGCATCTGGCACCTAATACTCAGAAATCCCACATTCAAGGCAGAAACTGAACAAGAATAAATTCATGAATAGATACAGCACACAACCTGTAAACTTCTATTCCTAAGGTTGCCAAGCTATATTCTCTTTCTTCTGTGGCTTTGCTGTCACTTTGTCAACAAAAAGGAAGCAGAAATGCTGTACCTTTGTTGTAAACATTTGTAGGAAGCTGTATATCACTATACGTTGTGTTCACCAGCAGGTTATTGAAGTGTTCATTTGGTTCCAGAACGAATTCATCACCAAGCTCCACATAATTACCCTTCTCATCCCTTTGGTTAATGAGAACAGCATTGTAATAATCAAACTGGCAAAGAAGAAAAACACAGAATAGTTTAAACAATCAATATTGGACAGCTTATGTGATTCACTATTAAATTTTTACATATAACTTTATGTACATTACTTTAATTTGAGAGTTTCAAAAGAAATTCTCAGTCCAGTTGAAACCAAGCATATAGATAACAATAATTTGGTAACTCAACAAAAAGAATATTCGAAGCAGGGTACAACATAGTTAAAACACACATTGAAAACACATTAACATTCATTGCATATATTAAATTACGTAGAACAAACACCAATATGAATAAAATATGAAGTCAGAATTCATAGTTTGAAATTGAGTGAGTAGGCTTGCCAGAAGTAGGTTTAAGACTGCATTGCACTATATTGTTACTCAGAGTTGAGCCCCCATGAATTCAGCGAAGCTCATTCTTTGACATTAAAGTACAGATATTCAGTCTAAGTGGTTAAACGCATGAGGATTTTTTGATAGATTGGACTACCAGTGTTGATGAATGGAATAAAAATATCAAAATTGGTTTCTTCAGACATCAATAATTGATGAGTGAGAGACAAACATGACATTTCAGGTGGTATTGTTCAGCTACAAGCTGACTGAGGTAGCTTCCGTGGGTCCTGAACCTACCTTCAACGCATGCTATTAGTGTATAGCATTAAGCAATTTTCAAAGAGTCTACTCTACTTGATATTAGCAACTAGATTTAAAACTAATTAATCTAATGTCTATACTATTGTGATTACTATTATCATTACAAGGTGGTCTTTTCTCTAAGGTGCACATAGTTGTCCTTATTTTATCCTCAGCACAACCTCATAATAAGGTTAAGCCAAAAGTTATTGAACATGTATTGATCAAGAGCAAATCAGCAGGTACGCCATATAATCCAGTTCCCTGCCACTAACACACACAAATAAGCTACAGCTGAATATGAAGTCTCTAAATAACAGAGTGGGGAGAGAAGGCCTCATAACAAAGTCTGAAGGCTCAGGAAAGGTCAGTATTGGGAAGCCAATGTTCTCTGGAAAATTGTGAAAACTAATATTCCAGTGTTTTGTGTGTGCTCTTTTCTATATATTACAAGCCAGCCTTCTTTATTCTGAGAAGAATGGTAGATAGAAATGGCATAGCAACTGTAATCATAGAAAAAAACTGTTTGATGAACATGTAGTATATTGATAACACCTGGATAATTACTGTGAATGTCATGATACAATACCTAAGGGGTGTAGTAATGGCTGAATCATAACTATGTGAGGTTTATTGCAAGGGGGTGGCATCAGCCAAAGTCCCTTACTGATGACCTATCAGCAGGTGGCTATAAGGAGGATGAAAGAATAAATCTCTCTCTCTCTCTCTCTCTCTCTCTCTCTCTCTCTCTCCTGTATGACTCAGTTTGAGTATCTGCCTATGTTGTATGTGACTGTCTGATGATGATGATGATAATAATAATAATTGTGCGTTTTTCTTGCATTGTATATTTCTGCTGCTTCTGTGATTGTTCATTTGTATTTTGATTCTGTAGCCCCCTTGTCGATGGATGTCCAGAATCAGCAGCATCCACCGTGGCCCTTTTTATCCTGGGTGACGACCGAGCCAGTATAGACTTTGTTTTGATTTGTTTCTCCATAATGCTAATGAGTCAGGTGCTCTTGGTTCCACTTCTCAGCTGAGACCTCTCTGGCTTGTTCGGACCTGCTGGTAGTTACACTACCGGCAGCACAGCTCTCAGCATTCTTGGAGTAGTTAAGCCCCCCGCCATGACAAGGTGGGGGGAACACAATACACCAGACATCATGATTGTGGAAAAGAAAAAAGTCTGGATTATTGGTGTCGCCATACCGGGTGACAGCCGCATTGAGGAAAAACAACAGGAAAAGCTCAGCTGCTATCAAGACCTCAAAACTGAACTGCAAAGGCTCTGGCATAAAGCCAGAGTGGTCCCAGTGGTCATTGGCACACTGGGTGCCGTGCCAAAAGATCTCAGCTGGCATTTGGAAACAATAAACATTGACAAAATCACGATCTGTCAACTGCAAAAGGCCACCTTACTTGGATCTGCACGCATTATTTGGAAATACATCACACAGTCCTAGACGCTTGGGAAGTGTTCGACTTGTGATTTTTTGATACGAAATACAGCATATAGATCTTGTTTGCTGTGACATACTGTGATTTTGTGTCAGTAAAATAATAATAATAATAATAATAATAATAATAATAATAATCAACTTTATTTATACCATCTCTCCAAAGGGGACTTGGAGCAGCTTACATGAGGCCAAGCCCAACAATACATTACATCAACAGAAAATATAAACAACAAAATAACATTGCAGTAAAAATAAACCAATCAAATAAAATAAATAGTACAAAATAGCATAATAAAATCAAACACAGTGGGCAGGCCAAATGTATAACATAAAATGATAAAACTCTGGATGAGATAGCAATGAAAAGTGCAATTTGCAAGTACAAGGAATGAGGATCTATGAATCCTCATTTGTATATTTGTAAATATTACAACAGTGAAGATTAAAGCCTTCAGATATTTTGGGTGAAACCTGAATCTGTGAGTTTACTAAACAGTATGTGTAGATAAGGTTGGATGATGGCAGTTGGGACTCTGCTGATAGATGGGCTGAAGCATGCTTTTTGCTGCTCAAGGACTCTGCTGTATTTTTGCTTCCTTCTGGGACACTTGCTATCCAGAGTGCAGTGGTTCAGGGAAGTTGTGATTTGGAAACTATAAATCATTTCATGTACCAGCATCCCACAACAAAGAAGCCTAAACAAAATTTCAGTTGAGCATGTAATTCCAAAACTATTACAGACTGTTCCCCAAATCACCCGTTTTATGATTTGAGTTTGAACCTTGAGTGCCTGTTCTCTTAGGTCTGGCATCACACATGCCTAAATTTGTGTGATCTGGTATCCTCCTCTTTTCAGAGTCTGGACTTACATATTCCAGTGTGTACATATGCATATGGCTCTGTGCAAACAGTACAGAGATGGGAGTGACACGGAGCATGTCCCTTTTCAGACACTTCCATGCATTAATTTTAGTCCAAATAAATCCTGGAAAGGGCCATTATCTTTCACAATACTAAAACAAAAAAATCTGTATCCCTGCTTATACAACATTTTGATTCAGAGCTAATAAAAATATAGATAACACCTGTTCACTTAAGACAAATTTACAGCAGTCCTTAGCAAATCTAATCAAGCCCCAAGATTCTTGGAAAATTGAGCTATCATTGGCTACTGCTAATTTATTTACTATAGAAAAAGGGAGGGTAATATTCAATATCATTCAATGCATTACTGCTGGATTTTTGATAACTGCACTTCATAGTCATTGAGAGGTGAACTAACTTGCACTAAGTGAAATTCCCTCTCCCTTTAAATATATAGGAACCCTCTCATTTTTGAAAAAAGCTATGCTTCTCCTGCCTGTGCTGTAAATTCCACGCAGATGCTGGATATTTTCCACTGACCTACATTCTCAGACTCATATTATATTCTACTGGATTTAACACTGACGAATTTGCTGAACATATAGCTGGATTCCAATCCTTCAGACAACTTTGGTAACACAGAATGCCTAGATAATTGGCGGTTTTGCTAACTGGCTGCCTGCAGATGCAAGAAAGCATAACAAAAGTTCATTAAATAAGCAGGGACCTGAACAGTTAGGAGTGAATGATTCATTATATATATATGTAGACCCTCTTTAAGTTGACCTTTGAATCAGTATCCTGCTTAGACCTTCCAAAAATATTTTTCTGGGTCTTGGCAGTTAACTGAATCATTTCTTCATTTGCCTTTGGCTCAAACATTGAACCAGTGAACTAAGGTCTGCATCAAAGCAAACAAGCACAGAGGATTCAATTTAATACATCAGTTCATTATCTTGACAGCTGTAACCAGACTGACCTCAGATTGTTAGGGATTACCCTATTCCTATCAAACAATTCCAAATCTTTTCTGTTGCGTCTATCATAAACGCACTAGTTGATTACAAACAAAATGTCAGCCTACAGTAGAATGCATCCCCCCTCCCCCACCCCGACCCAACAGCCTTTGCTCTGAATCCTATCTTATTTAACCATTCATCCAAAAATCTTGCTTGCATCCCCTACTCCAAAAGTTCAATTTACTGTCACAATACTTTGCATTAGCTTTTTCATTAATTACTCCAAGCCTTTAACAAACTATGAAATTCTATTCTCCAAAATACTTTGAGGAATTTATTTTAGCAAATTTCATTGGAGCTTAACTATTAAGATCAATTTTATTTAATAAGGACCCAACTATAAAAAGCTCCAACTATGGATGCATCTATACTGTAGAATGAAGGCAGTTCGACACCACTTGAACTGCCATGGCTCAATGCTATGGAATCATGCATGTTGTAGTTTTACAAGGGCTTCAACCTTCTCTGTCAAAGAGTACTGGTGCCTCACCAAACTATAAATCCTGTGATCCCATAACATTGAGCCATTGTGCCAAACTGCATTAATTCTACAATATAGATGCACCCTATGTGTGCAATGCCTATTGGGATGCGTTTGTATAGATGGCTAGGTTCCAATTAGTATTTCAGATTCCACCTGGGCATGAGGAGAGCGGACAGCAGACATGGTTGAGGTTTTCCCACACAACTTATCAAATATGGTAAAATGCTAGTTAAGTAATTATAATAATCCTTTTCTGCTAAGACTTGAGGCTCACAGAACCATGCCAAACCAGGCAAAGTTAAAGGAAAGATTGTCTGTCTAGCAAAGGAAATAGTACTGTTAGATTTCCCAATCGCCCTGTTTCAAGTTCAGTCCTACCATCACACACCTCCCTCTTCAGGTTTTCAACCACTGTTGCCTGTGTTTGGGACCATCATATGGGGAATCCTTTCCTCCCTCTCCCTATATTATTATTTTTAATCAGGGAAAACTTTAGTATCTAAATCCCAAGAGATCCCTTGCTTTGCCCATTGAAGGAGACTGCCCAAAGCCCCTTACATTTATTTATTTGCTTCATTTATACCCCACCTTTCTCACACAAGGGGACTCATAGCAGCTTGAAGGAGACAGGACACAGTTTTTAAATCTCTTCCTTCAATCAGATCCCTTGCCCTCCCCAAAGCCCTGCACACCAGAGGAGGCAATGTCTCCACCCATGTCATAGTTTTAAAACATTCCTTTCAATGGGATCTTCCCCTCTTTTGTTTGACTTCCTCCCATTGAGTATACCAGCATAATTTTAACTCCACTTTTAACACTCTTTTCAATTTGATGGTCTCCCTCTAGAGCAGTGGTTCTCAACCTGGGGTCTCCAGATGTTTTTGGCCTTCAACTCCCAGAAATCCTTACAGCTGGTAAACCAGCTGGGATTTCTGGGAGTTGTAGGCCAAAAACATCTGGGGACTCCAGGTTGAGAACCACTGCTCTAGAGGAGATCAGCACATTTTTAAAATACTTCTTTCAATAGGACCCACACTGTCTTTAAACTACTTAAACAACAGAAGGATCATGAAGGGGCACTTCATATAATGGAGTGTAACAGAAAAATCCACCACTTCCTATGGAGCCTAGCTTACTATTATGGAGAAAATATAGTGACAGCAAAGTGGCAAGGAACACCCATTCCTCCACGTCACTGAAACTATTCAACACAGGCGAATCTGTCAGTTCCCATCACATGTGTTTTTTTGCATTGGTGACAGTTCTGTGATGCACTAGGGCTCAGAACACAGATACTTATCTGTGTTCCGAGATTCCTCCTTTCAGGACACTTCATCTTCATTTCATGGATGAAGGACAATGGATGACAACCGGAAATAGGCAATCATCATATAATGGGCTCCATGCCTCTTTGTCCTTGAAATGGAGATAAAGTGTCCTACGATGTGGAAAATGCTCCATGTGATGAGGTCATACATTAAACAATCTGATTCAATCACTCTATTTTAAGATATGCCACTGCAAGTAGAATATCTGATGTACCTTGAGTTGTCAGAGCAGTACTTGAAAAAAAAAGTCATATTATTTTAAATTACATTTTGTTCCTGTAATTGGAAATTAAGTTTAATACCATGTATATAGGTCTATTAATAATAAATCATGCATTACAGGAAAGATAAATCAAAAGATGGCAATTTGACTAGGATTGTTCTTAGACCTCGTTTCTTTAATTTAATATTGTTTTTTACTTCTGCATTTGGGAAAGCCAGTTATCATTTTCTACCAAGAAAGCCATTTCCACAATCATAAGGGAGTGGATTGGGAAGGTTCACAATGTGCTACTGAGAAAAGTCAATGCCACTTCCATATGGATGAGATAAATGTTATGGTTTGTTGTTAACTGCCATCAACCAGACATTGACTGTGGCAACCCCATGAATGAAAGACCTCCGAGTCAAATGCAAAACTTTGTTTAAATAGACATTCTTTCCTATAATTCCACACTGAAGCAAAATCATATTGGGAAAGGTTCACAGATACATGATCAATAACCAACCCCAGAGGTCCCTCCGTTCTGAGGACCAAGATCTATTGGAAATTCCCAGTGTCAAGACCTTGCATCTGGCAGCAACCAGACGCAGAGCCTTTACAGCAGTGGCACCATCACTCTGGAATACCCTGCCACCTGAAGTCCATGCCTTGCGGGACTTATCAGCTTTCCGCAGGGCATGTAAGACATACCTGTTTCAACAGGTCTTTGATTTTTGATATTGCTGTTTTTAAATTGTGTTAGATTTTAGCCATTCTTGTAAGCCGCTCCGAGCCCCAGGGGAGTGGCGGCATATAAGTTCGAATAATAAATAAATAAATAAATAAACTTGCCCATTGCTGGTAAGGTGTAAATGAGCCAATAGCACAGACAAAACTTTCAAATAAGCCTGGCTTACAGCAGTGTTTTTTATCCCAAGGGTCACATCAATATTACTTGGCTGATGATATTCATACTACAAGTACTAGTTCCCCTCCACACACACTCTTTCTGTTAAAATCAGTAACCAAGTGTTGTTTTTTAGTGTCATCCAGGAATCAGACTATTTAAGTGTTGGCTGTTCTTCATTTGTGAAACAAACTTTGTGAATAATGAATAGTTTTGTGAGCATCCTCTTGACAGTGAGTCCTGGAAGCAAAATAGCTAGTAATGTGGCCAAAGGGCTGCAAGCACAAAAATAACACCCAGTTATTCACTATGGTTTACAGTTTAGTATGGTTGTGCTGAATATACACATATTTGCTTGTCCTGGATTAAAAGGGGTATTTTGATAGATTAGACATAGCACAATATGGAATGTTTTCAGCCTCACATGAGAGCAAAACACCAATGTTTTTAGTAGTTGCAACCATGGAGGGAATGTTGCATATTGAGTGGAAAAAGACTGCATTTGCAGCAAACATGATATATTGTGCAAGGAAAAAAAACTTATGCTATTTTGTCCAGTTTTTTTTTAAAAAATCTGCATATCCTGCAGAAGTGTTCATTCATTCAGTCTCTTCCAACTCTTCATGACCTCATGGACCAGCCCAGCCAGAGCTCCCTGTCAGTAGACACCACCCCAACTCCTTCAAGGTCAAGCCAGTCACTTCAAGGATACCATCCATAGATATATGAGTAAGTAGATGCAAAATTGTCATGGACTAGAATCAGACTGATCTCTGTACACTTAGTTTGGACTGTATTGATTCAGACTGAAGGGTGGAATACAGAAGAATTAAGATTTTTTAAATTCCTTCATGCCATAAAATGATGTTCCAAATATGCCCCAACATCATTTTTTAAATGGTAATGTGACGAGATTGTTTTAAATCAAAGATCAGTAAATACAGTGGCTTTGCAGAGTGAAGTGATTCAGGTCAGATATAGGTCCCTTGGTCTATGCTGTTATTTGGTTCCAGGACTCCCCTTCCCCGTGGATACCAAAATCTGTGAATGTTCATGTCCCATTCAATCCAATGGCATAGTAAAATTGCATTCCTTAAATAAAATGGCAAAATCAGATTTTGTTTTTTGGAATTTGTTTCAAATGTTTTCAAGCTGTGGATGTATATGGAGGGCGGACTGTACTAGGCCTGTGAAAACTAGGCCATAATTTGGGATAAGGAACTGCTGTAATCTCAGAATGGTGGTTAAGTTGGCTGGAGCTGCTGGACTTTATCGCCAGCAAAATATGGAGGGTCCGATATTCCCCAAAACTGTCATAGATAACTTTAGAGATCAGGTGATCAAAATGGTCTTTTCTCTGATGTGCCTCCCTAGCACTACACGTCACATAAATTATGTCCTTGACATTGCAAGATATGTACATGGGACATAAACACTTGAATAAATGGACAGCTTACCTCCAGGGATGCGTTGAATTCATGGTACAGATCTGCATCTTCTGCTGCTTCAACCAACCGCTACAAAAGAGATATTTTTAAAAAAATGGAAAGAAAATCAGTCCGGGAAGAGATGGGAAAGCATTTTTGAAAGCATTATCCACAGAGAGGAACATAAATTAACACCAATGAAAGGACAAGTGATCCTTGATTAGGAGAATCAACTTCTCGCTCAACGGAGATTTCTGTGCAGTTCACAGCTTCATGTCAAATTCAGTTTTTTTTCCAAAATGGAGATGTGGTAGTTGCTGAAGAAGGCCTCACCTACTGGATTTCTGTCATAAGGCAGCTAAAAGAATGAAATGTTTGTCGGGGAGGAAAAACTTAACCATGGTACTTTCATGCCTGTCTCCAAATCTGGCTCAACTTCCTCAAAAGGCGGTATAAAAAACTAGAGGGAGCCTTCAAATGTTATGCAAGTCTGTCCTGCTGCATGGCTAAATTTAGCAGCTTGTATTCAGAATATCTCAGGGTTGGTTCCAACAGTGCCATGGACTGTTACAAATGTACTGAGTACACTATTTATAGAGAGAAAATAAATGTACCAGAGAAGTAACATCAACATGTATTTTTCTCCTGAAATTCAAGCTAGAGGAAAAACAACCAAGTGGCCCTCTCCCCCCATTGTGAAAGTTTCAATGAATAGTCTGCCTGAGTTTAGTAAATCAGGAGCAAGCAAAATTTATAAATGTCACTAGCCATATCAGCTAAGCCACCATACATGTAGCAGAACTGTATTTTACATGTAGTAAAACTGTATTTGGTATGTATAAACCAAATTTTACAGCTGGCAATGTACAGCTTTAAAATGGGTAACTGAGAGCTTAACTACAGAGGATATAGAGAAACCATATAAAAGAAAACAATAGAAAACTACCAATTTGATAAATGTAGCTTGAAGGAAGGGAGTCAAGGGATGTGTAGCTCCTTCCCTCTGTGTCATTTTCCCAATTAAAATTGTCTCCTCTCCCAGTTACAAGTTGTCCATTGTGGGTTGGGAGAGGCATGAAAAACCATTACTAGTCACAAGACAACACAGGATATGATTGGATACAGCGAATCTATATAGTTTGTCAAAGCAATTACTAGATTATGAGTATGGACAGGGAAATAGACACAATTGTTGGTAACAATAGTAGCAGTGGGAAAAGTCTATCACAGACCGAAAATCATTGTAGGATTGTGCAAAGAAGTGCCTTTTGCACAAATTAAATTTTCACAAAAAAGTTTGAAGCATGAAAAATATCTTTGAAAAATGGAACAAAACTCTTGTAATGTATCAAAACATGAAAAGGCACCTTCATCAATGCAATCTGTAATTAAATTCTACATTCCTAGGAAGTACAGTAGTTACTCACTTATCCAACATAAAAGGGCTGGCAAAACGTTGGATAAGTGAAAATATTGGATAATATGGAGGGGTTAAGGAAAAGCCTATTAAATGTCAAATTACATTATGATTTTACAAATTAAGCACCAAAACTTTGTTTTACAACAAACCAACAGAAAAAAAGCAGTTCAATACACCGTAACGTTAAGTAGTAATTACTGTATTTACAAACTTAGCATCAAAAAATCACAATGTATTGAAACAGTTGTAGATCCAGGCAGGAGGGAGACTGCATTGCATAATACAGAATGTTGGATGAATGAAGGTTGGGTAAGCAAGACTCTACTGTAGCAGTGAATGTAAAGAAAGAAGTCTATGAAAAATTGTTCTCCATGCATGCATTTCTTTGGGGCAATTGAAAAGCAACTCTACAGTAATGTAAGTGGTCTTAATAATAATAATAATAATAATAATAATAATAATAATAATAATAATAATTTATAGACCTCCCTCTCTCCCTGAAGGGACTCAGCATGGTTCACAAGAAAAACAAAAATGGCAAACATTCAATGCCAAAAAACAAATAAACAGCATTCAAGGCAAAACATATAATAAATAGACTCAATAAACTTATAGGCAACCAGAACCGAGGGTTAAATTAAATAAACTTCATAGACACAAGAAGTCAAACCAAGTAAACCTCCATTATTATGGGGTGTCTGCACTCTACACCACTGGAGAAATTACACTGTCTAGCCGGTATGAACCATCCAGGAATTTAAGATCTTCTGGAGAGGCCCTGCTCTCTGTCCCACCTTTCTCACAGATTTGGTTGGTGGGAACGAGAAATAGGGCCTTTTCAGTGGTGGCCCCTCGGCTGTGGAACGCCCTCCCCAAGGACATTAGATCAGCTCCCACCCTCTTAATATTTTGCAAAAAAAGAGTCAAAACCTGGCTTTGTGAGCAGGCTTTCTCAAATGCAGTGTAGCAAATAATTACTTGACCTCGGAACGCCTGGACAATTGCGACTGGATGATGATTCTGGAAATGAGTTGCGAAGGATTGATGTTTTATGTTTTATTGATTTTATTGCCTATGGAACTTTGTGGTTTTATATGCTTTTAACTGTTTATATTGTGGCATCAAATTGTGCCGTTTTGTAAACCGCCCTGAGTCACCCTCAGGCTGAGAAGGGTGGTATAGAAATAAAGTAAATAAACAAAATATTGCACCACCTGACATCCAATGGGAAGTAGCAACCAATAGTGAAAGGACCAAGGCAGTGATATCTCCGGCCCACCCCCTGTTTGGATATCAGCCAGCACACCAATGACTTAAATCAAGAAATAGTTTTCTAAGATCTACAGAGACACTTGCTGGAACACATCAGCAAGCAAGGGTCCAAGAGTGGCAGGCTCAAACCCAGAACCTCAACCAATGACTGATACCAAATGAGAGACTCTCTCCTGGGCACACAGAAGACTGGGCAACTTGGAAGGCACTGAACAGACTGCATTCTGGCACCACGAGAGGCAGAGCCAACCTTAAGAAATAGGGCTAAAAAGTGGGATCTACGACATGCAAGTGTGGAGAAGAGCAAACCACAGACCACCTACTACAATGCAACCTACATGCACAATGGGGGACCTTCTTAAAGGACACTTAATAGAATGCCAGGTTTGCAAACTTTGTTTTTTTTAATGCAATACAATTGTTTGGTTTGCTCCTGACAGGATAAATAAATAAATAACACTTAAGCTACAACACCTCCCCAATACCCTCCTGAACTTCTGAACAGTTTGCAGGAGAGGGAATTTTGGCAAGGCTGCTTAGTGTCAGCAGAAATTTTATCGACAATTATTAAAGACAGTAATATAACATATGGTTTTGAAAAAACAGAGCCTATGATTCATATGAGCATAAAAATACTGCCTTATACCACAGTACTAATCCATCTAGCACAGTTTCATCACCCTCTCTGATGGCACCAATTCTCCAGGGTCTGATTTATGTAACTAGAAGTGTCAATGTTGGATTCATTTAACTAGAAATGCCAGTTATTGAGCTGGGCCCTTGTACATAAAAAGCATGACCCATAACACTGAGCTATGGCTCCTTCATAAATCAAAATCCATACTGGATTTTGATTCAGCAACATCCTTCAATGCTATTTGGTAGGCAGTGCCTGCTGAATAGGAGCATGATTTCTTCTCATTCATTCTTGTCCTCTCTCACTATTGCCTTGGAAAAAAATTGGGAGAAAAATGAATTACCTCAACTGCTTCTACTTTTCTCCGCAGCATGCTTTCCATTTCTTCGGAGAACTTCTTCACCAGCTCCAAGCCATCTACTTCTTTAATCTTCAGAGTTGGTTCCACATCTTTGTATTTCTGTCGAAAGAAATAAGGAAAATAGTTGGTGAAGAAGAGATTTCACAAGCCATATGAGAGGCCAGTTACATGAGCAGCTAGCATATACTTGGAATTTTCAACTACAGTGTGTATTTATATAAATGTGATGTAATTAAAGATAATTAAGTGTTTATGAAATAAGTCACTGAGATGCAAGCATGAACTAAACCCAATGCTGAATTCTTCCCCAATTCCAAAACAACTCAGACTAAAAAGGAGGAAAATCATAAAAATGATTATTGTAAAAGCCCTCTGTCATGTTGAAAAAGAGGCCCCAAATTACATAACAAGTGAGGAATGGTTAGATGATTGTAACATGATTAATGGAAATAACATTAAAAGAGCAGGTTTCCTGTGGGATACACTATTTCTAAGCAAACAGCTTCATTTTGAACAAAGTTTTCCCTTGCAGTATTTTTTTTTCTAATACACAAGCATTTTCTGCAACTTAAACAATATAGTTGTGCCTGAAAGTATAACTTCTGGAACATTTCTGGGCAACTTTTTAAAAATCGTGTCAGAAGTGGCTTGTTCACAAGTCACTTCTGACACAATAAAAAAAAAAGTTGCCCAGCTATGTGTGAGGGAGAATTGGCCATCTACAGTGACATTGCCCAGGGGATGCCTGGATGTGCTACCATCCTGCTGGCAGGCTTCTCTCATGCCCCCGCAAGCTAGAGCTGACAGACCTGTCTCACGGATTCGAATCGGCAACTTTAATGTAAGCAACCCAACCTTCAGGTCAGCAGTCCAGCTGGCACAAGGGTTTAACTCATTGCACCACCGCTGAAGAGGGTAAGGAGCAATGAAGCAATACCAATGATGATGTGACTCTCTCCAGGTATGATACTCACCTCATATACGTATGAGGCCTGGAGCAAGTAATCCTGTATTCTCCCTAACTTCAAGAAGAAAATACAATTGGGCACAAAATTTGAAAAAAAAATTGGGCCTGATTCCTCCCACCCTGCAGTTATCAATGGCCTTCCTATAAACAAACATTATAGGCTGCATGCAAATGTCAGAGAGCAATGGGTGCACCCTCTGCCCCTAAGAAGGCTACTCCCAGTTTTTAGAAAACATCAACTAAAAAGTTAAGTCTCAATTCAAACTTATTGTTCAAAACCTGATAACCTGCAGAGCACAAGTAAACCCTTCAGGTGTACTGCCTGTTCAGAAGATACAAAAATCATTAGCGCTAGCATTCTCTGTCACAACACTGACTATGCATTCTCAATGTTTATCCTGAATACAAATCACAGCAGAACTTTTAGCTGAGTAAGCGAAGCTAAGCTGAACTTTAAAGGTAAGAAAGATAGACAGAACCCACTTCTAAGCAGAGATTTACATAACAGAGGAGAGGATGAAATGCAAAATCAAACAGACAAAAGAGGGCATTGATCTGTGTAAACTTTAAATAGGTTAATTTTTAGGTACTGTCTGTTTTTTGGGGGGGGGGGAAGGATAATACATGCAATTAATGGGTAACCTGGAGGACATGGCTTTCTTTTTCAGTGGGATCTGAATAAGACAGAAGTCCAATACAATAAAGGAGTATGGATCTCCATTTAATTACCATCTCTCAATTTTTGAAAATAGGATTTGGTCTTTTACTTACTTTTGGTTTGAAACACACACACACACACATAATTAACCTGCAAAGGCCTACAAGAATGAGATAAGTGGCTCACCAAGGTTATCTGCAGTTGCCCGCTTCTGTAAATAGTGGCTGCCTTCAAATGGGGATAATTAATAAAATGCCCTTAGTTCTTTTTGCTTTTGAACCCTGAAACTCTTTCACCTCATCCATTTAATTTATTTCATGCAGACAGTATGATTAGACTCTTCAGGAAAAAAAAAGAAAATTGGGTAAAACAATTTACAATAGCCTGATTACAGCAAAAACATTGGATGATTACTGGTAAACATTAAAGAAGAAAGTTCAACAACAAGGTTGCAGTCAAATGTTTTGTGGCGAGGTAGGATAATTAACACAAGTGTTCTATGTTGAAGAAACTGGAATAGAAAGAAATGTTTTCTATATCCCGACTCAGTAATTAATCAAAATGGAGACTGAAGTCAAGAAATCAGAAGGGCAACTATGAAAAAACTATATAAGATCCCCAAGTGTAATAATATAAAAAGTTCTTGCCATTAACTTACTCACTTTTTGCTTTAAGATTTAAAAACTTAATAATTGTTGTTAGCTACTTTGGGTCCTGTTTAAGGAGAAAGCAGGCTATTAAATTAGTCAAGTCTATCTTTCAGTCAGTCAGTCAGTCAGTCTGCCACTGTGGAAGGTGACACAAAATAGAAAATCAATTTTTGCTGAAAAAATTTACTGAAAGTGAACACTTTGTTCAAAACAAAGCTGTTCCAATAGTGTTTCCCCCAGGAAACCTGCTCTCTTAACATTATTTCTATTCATCATGTCACAATCACCAACACTCATCCCTTACTTGTTATGTGATTTGGGGCCTTTAAATGAATTGGTCTGTCATGACTTTTAGTTTGAGCCCAAGAAACAGCTCAGCAACTGAGGACTCAATTTGCTACTCCACTGCGAGAAAAAGGTAAAACTCCAAATGGAAACATCATGCTGGGCTCCACGAGAAAGCAAACAAATGTGTTCTGCAGGAGGCACCTTGATTCTCCATCAGTCCCTCTGATAGTTTGGGAAGTATAAGAATTTGTCAGAAACAACAATCTGATTTGTGGCTTGCAGGATCCAACTCTAATGATTCCAGAGAAATGAGGACAAAAGCAAAGATGATATATGTTGCTTCCCCCAAACCACCTGAGCAGAGTGCCTCAGTCCCATGATGAAATTTAGCAGCAAAGCAATGACAGTGAAAGTGACTGATTAGCTTAGAAAAAGAGGATTGATCAAGTAATATATCTACCAAAAGACAGTTTCACCCGTAAGCTGCAATAGATACAAGTTTAGAACTGGAGGGTTTTGACAGGGCTTAGCAGCACCAATTCACACATTACAAATCTAGAAAACTTGCTTCTGGTCCTTTTGAAGATTTAATTAAGTTTAAAAATGGCAGCATCTAAAAGAAAACAAACAGCCTTAAAACTGCTGAAAATGAGTGGGTTTTGATGCCTGGTTTAAGCAGAATGAAACAAGACAGGTAGAATAAGAATTACAGTTCTTTTAATAAGAATCCATGTAGTTCTGTGCACTCCCGCTACCTGAAAAATGTTGCCTATTTCTGTTGCATATTGATGCAGAGAGAGGGAGGATATTCAGACCATAGAGAAGCAGCTGGTCTCAGGTTGCTTGAGAGAAGAAATTAGAGTGTGCTCTCAAAGTAAGGCATCTGCCTTTCCCTTTCCCTGAAAACTCAGAACAGCCAGGGGCATATCTATATTGACCACATATTCTCAAGCTGATGCAGAGTGTCAAATGCCAGATCACTCCCAAGGTGGAAACTGGAAGGAGTCCTGACTATCCAATGGCACAAAACATGGTCCTGTACTGCTAGGCAGCTACCCTCACTGTCTCTCCATTCTCCTTTTGCTGCAGCTAGACTAGTGGTCACAACATGGCTTGTGTCAGTCACTCGTTGCCTAAATAACACCAGCCAGAGCAGCAGATGTGGGGGGAGAGAGGAGGAATTGCTTCCTCCCTTTCCCCCTTCCTTCTCCATTCCCTTGTCACTTCGGCCATCTTCACGTCAGGAGATGAGCGACTGACATGAGCAATGCTGTGTTCATGAGATGACCATGTGGACAGTTGCAAACACTTTCCAATTGGCCCCACTGTTTGAAGAATTCAGAGAAGCCTGCAACTTTGGTTAACATGGTCCAAGGCCATATTAAGGTGGCCTTGAGCCTCATTAATCTGAATCATTTCTGTCTGAAGGAGCCCCGGGTGGTGCAATTGTGTTGGCAGGACTGAAGACTGACAGATTGCAGGTTCAAATCTGGGGATAGCATGGATGAGCTCCCTCTGTCAGCTCTATGTGGGGACATTAGAGAATCCTCCCATAAGGATGGTAAAACATCAAAATATCCGGACATCCTCTAGGCAACGTCCTTGCAGATGGCCAATTCTCTCACACCAGAAGCGACTTGCAGTTTCTCAAGTTGCTCATGATACAGAAAAAAATCTGTCCACCATGGATCTGATCTGCCCACTCTTCATGATAAGTGATCAGTGAAGGTGTGCCCCAGGTCTTTATGGTCTGAACCACCTCCCCTCTCCCTTCTCTGCCTACCAGTGAGTGACAGTAGCAGGGACCCAATAGCGCACAATGAAAAGTGAATAGCCTTCTATTCCCTGTCCTGAAAGGGAATTACATATACCTAAGTTACATTACATGCTAGTAAGAAACTAACAAGATGGCTGACACAAATGTGGATGCCTGCAGGAAGTAGTGCAGAGGAAATGTCTTTCAGATATCATTTGCCAGAGTCAAATTGAAAACAACTCCTGTACCTTTAGTGGTTGTGTAGAAAAGGGAATTTCAGCAGGTGTTGCTTGTCACAAGGCCAGATAGCATGGAACGCCTGCTTCAATTCACTCTTCTGCACAACCACAAAAGGAATGGGGGCCTTCTCTAGTTTTCAATCTAGCAATCCTACTTCAGATGCTCTTAACTGTTGTTGGACCAATGTGTATCTGGTGATGTTGTTAACAAAAAAAGAAAAAAAAGAGAAAAAGAAGCTATAATAATACCAGCATTAAAAAGAATTAGGAGGGGAAAAATCAGACCATTCACTGCTTACATTTTGCATTTGATTTCTTTTCTACATTCTTTTCCATATTAATGAGTCTTGAAAATGCCAAGAAACTAATTACTTTTGTATGTGGTGCCAGCATAGAGCTGCACAAACGATCTGGACAGAATTAACATCCTGACTAGGCATAAATTAAAGTTTTCTTTTATTGCTATTTTTGTAAACTATCTCAGGGATATGGACTAGACCATTAGACCATTCCTTTTAGCTGCAAATAACAAAGCCTCTGCTAAAAAAAAATATGTAAAAATCAAGTTAAATTAAGGAATGTACAATTAATCTCGTCATGAAATCAGGTAATTTTATTGGCATGAATGACAATGACAAGGATTAATACTGGAATATCATGCAATTTTCTTTACCATATCATGGAATGATGCAAAGAAGCAACCAAATAATAATAATGGGAAGAAGAGGAGGAGGAAGAAAGAAATGTACTATTACCAAGACTGCAAGAGAACATTTCCTCTTGCAAACCACAAAAGGGGAGGAATTTAAGGAAGAAAGCATGAATCTGGATTATTTTAGAATATAACAAGGCGAATGCCAAGATTGTTTTGGTTGTTTGTTTCATTTTTTGGAATTTTTTGCATATTCATTCCATGCCATTTTCTTTTTACATACATTGTTCTAGCTCAGGCATGGGCAAACCTAGACCCTCCAGGTGTTTTGGACTCCAACTCCCAGAATTCCTAACAGCCTCAGGCCTTTTTCTTTTACCCCTCAGCCGCTTAAGCTATTGGCAGTAGTTTTTATTGCATTTGTTTCTCCAAAAATACAATAACACTCTGCAATATGTATGCATTCTACATTATTCTGCACAGAAATAGTGTGACGTAGCCAGGTGAAAAAATATCATGTAACAACATATGGTGAATATAAAGGAATTAAAACAAAGTAAATAGACTTATGATATCCTAACAATTGTTTTTTCCCAGTAGGTAAGAAATATAATTTACATCTTGAAAAATGTCAAAACCTGGGGTTCCTTCTTCCTCTCTCCCCTTTTAGTGGTATTTGTTAATTTATATAGTCAGTCAACTAATCAAAATTTAGTAATCCATTCAGACAGGGACATAACAGAGGTGGTGCTCCCTATGTTATCTAGTAAAACCAGTCCTCTCTCATAAACAAACAATACCACTTCAAGCCATAAAGTATTTCATAATCTGTAATGACTATATTTTTAAAACATATACATTTAAGGTCATTTTCCTTGGATTTTAAAAAAATCACATTCCACCAAAATGTGATTTGAGATAGACTGTTTTCTCTGACCCATAAACTCACAGATCCTCAAATATCCAAAAAGATATTAAATCACGACATCTTGTATTCCCATTATTTTTATATTAACCTCTGTTGAATGTGGTCTATCTTAGATATGATGCCCTACATAGAAAAATCTCCAGTAGGTTTGATTTATACTGAATCTAGTACCTGGTAAAGACCTTTCCCATTTCTCAGGCTTTTTAACTTTTGAGGAAGTTTTATAAATCTACTTGAGAATCTCATAAAAAGGATATGGCATGAATATTTCACCTAAATAAAAATAATATCCTTTTGTTGTTGTGAATACAGCAATGCTTAGCACTGCTCATCTCTTGTTTGGGTATCAGCCAGCACGTCAACGACTTAAATCAAGAAATAGTTTTCTTAGATCTACAGAGACACTCGCTGGAACACCTCAGCAAGCGAGAGTCCAAAAGTGGCAGGCTCAAACTCAGCACCTCAATCCGTGGGTGATACCAGATGAGAGACTCCCCCCTGGGCACACAGAAGACTGGGCGACTTGGAAGGCGCTGAACAGACTGCGCTCTGGCACCACGAGATGCAGAGCCAACCTTAAGAAATGGGACTACAAAGTGGAATCCACGGCATGCGAGTGTGGAGAAGAGCAAACCACTGACCACCTGCTGCAATGCAACCTGAGCTCTGCCACATGCACGATGGAAGACCTTCTTGCGGCAACACCAGAGGCACTCCAAGTGGCCAGATACTGGTCAAAGGACATTTAATCAGCTACCAAGTTTGCAAAATTTGTGGGGTTTTTTTGTTTGTTTGTTCTGTTCTGTTAGAAATGTAATACAATGTTCTGGTTGCGGATGACATGATAAATAAATAGCACTGAAGAATAAAGAATGCTTCATAGTGATGGACAGTAATAATAGAGTTAGATAGCCTGAGTGACCTACTACTTCTTCACAAAGTCCAAAATTTGGTGCTGACAGTTTTTTTTTACTTTAGCCATGGATCTTGATGGCTCCCATCACAACCTGGAAAAGTATTTCCAGGGTGGCTCTGTGGCTGAACTACTACAAGCACCCTGCCGCCGCCGCCAAATTACCAGTAGCGGTCTGTGAGAGGCTCCCCATCTTTCCATTAGGAAAGATGGGTTGAGCCAACTCAAGGAGGTTTCCTCCAATGTAATGAGGCAGGGGGGGAAGCCAAGACACAGCAGGGTGCAGAGCAACAGGTCTCCATGCCCCCTGTGTGGGTGCTGCCGAGATCTCTGGAATCTGCGGTGATGCAGAATAATTCCAGCAGCACATGTGAAGAAGTCCTTAAAATGTCCTCCCTCTACATCTACCTATCCTGACCTCTTTGTGATGTAAACTGATATTCTTGGGGATCTTTTCCATCTCTTCATCTCCCCATGAGTTCTCTTGTGACCTTCCAAGGTGTAGCTAAGTTAGATCAACCTCCTGATTTAGTACGGCTTTTTACAATGGAGTTTTTGCAATAAAGCTTAGTTTCTTTCTCCAAGTCTTTGGTATGCTTGCTCCTTAAATCAAGATCTCTGACTACTGCATTGCACTCTTTCGATTTTTAAGCTGTTCTGTCTTGGAATGGCAGTGTTGAGTAACTCTCGGATTTTGAAGGCAAGAACATTGAAATGAATGCAGCAGGCTCTGTACACTAGCTGAGCATCTTACCATTTTCTTTTCTATACTTTTAAAAGAGTACTTTCTGTTCTGTGGATATTTACCAGTATTTGTTTATGCAACTGACATATCACTTACCTTCTGCAATAGAAGAGAACCAGAATATTTCGAAACAAGGTAAAATAAGTCCCCACCAAAGGCATCTGCCCAGGATTTCACTCTACATAAAAAAAAAAAACAAATACAAGTAGCATCAATAATCTCAAATTAGACAATTGATCAAAAGCAGAACTTTGGCCAACTACATTTTTGGACTACAAAAAAGTGGATTACAAACTTTTGGAGGCAAAAGTATGATAGCTGGAACCCTACGCTGGTTGTGCACTGCAGGTTAGAATTAATGAAGGGAACACGTGTGCGAGACAGCACAGTGAGTGAGAGATGCAGTTGTGAGGGAGGGAGGAGGAGGGGGTGTATGGCGCACACGTCCTGCTCTACCAGAACCATGGCTCCTCCACTATCAGAAAGCGGGCAGGGGAAAGCACAAGAAGAGGGGAAGGGGGGAATCCGTTTCCTGCCACTCTGTTCACACCAGGGCCTTGTAAAAACCTTCCCCAGCCACCAACACACTTTCCGCCCTTCGAAGAAAACAGCCCCAGCAGCTGGGAGCAGTCCAAGCGGACTTCCCTTCATTAATTACAATGAGTGTTGCACAACCAGTGTACAGGTTTCAGCTATGCGTAGGGTCCCAGCTATCATACTTTTGCCCTTTTGGACTACTTCCTAGATGGTATTGTATAAGTTGTGATACAAATGAATATTATTTCCAAGCTCTGCTCAGGAAAGTCCATCTGGTCATTCCAAACACTATGATTTTCTTGGTATCTCCAGATTCTGAGGTGTCCTTGTGCAAAACTTTCTCATTTGACCTGTTCCTTCATTTCAACCACTATTCATTTGCCTTCCCTCTGAATGCAAATCACAATATTGCTTGGATAGGAAGCCAAGGCAGAGATAGAAGTGAGGAGGGATGATTATGGGGTTCAGTAGTGACCTGCATGCTGCAATATGTGTCTGCCAATACTGACTCCTGCTGTCACTGAAGGAGAGTAAATGGATGTTTTCTGCATCTCAGCATTTAGGAGCAATCAGAACCAAGAGCCCTGTTGTATTCTGAACCAGGGATCTATTCACACTTCACAACTACATTGCTGTTATTCCATTTCAAATGCCCATAGAGTCCGGTGGGTTTTTTCTAACTTAATGAGACAGTGGATCACTCCTGATTAGGCATGGGCAAACTTTGGCCCTTCAGGTGTTTTGGACTTCAACTCCCACAATTCCCTACAGCTAGTAAACTGGCTGGGATGTCTGGGAGTTGAAGTCCAACAACATCTGAACATCACGTAGGGATTGCTTTAGACATTTACATGAATTTACTGTGTAGTGTTTACACTGGACTCTGCAAAAGATGAAGGTTATGAGTCAGTCACCATAGTAGAGAAAAGCAGTTGATGGAAGTAGAAACAATGGGATGGATGAGATGAAAAGTCAATGCAATGTCCGGCCTGCAACTCAAAGTTGCATCACATAATGGCACAGAAAGTCTTTCCTTTCTATTGAAGGAAAACAGGCCAAAACAGGATTAGAAGTTCTTCCTAGGAACAAGCAATGTATATGTGGTAAAAGCAGTAAAGGCTGATCAATTGCTGGCAGATTTATAGAGGGAAACTTATAATAGTTCTAACTACATAGGGAGCAATATTACATCCAACATATTACCCAACTGAGGCAGAATAGTAATTGTAGCAATTCATAATGAATCTAGAAATATGAGCACTGATCATATAAAGTGAGCGCAAAGGCCCTGCAATGCAGAATGAGAAGTTGCTTTAGCTCTGAAAACCCATGCAAAATCCTTCTTAGTCAGAATGCAGGTAAATGAGTAGCTTTTCGCAGAAAATGCCATATGCCTCAACTGTTTGGAAAATCACAGGCATGTCCCAAGAGATTAACAAATTCATAACTCCAGAAAAAAATTCTCCTTCCCCAAAAACATTCAAACTACTGGATGTCATCCTCTAAGTAAGTGACTGGGGTTTCCAAGTGGGATACAGGACAAAGTTACTTGTTTCAGAGAGCTGTATAGAAATACCAGCAGGTGTTACTTGTCATTGAAGTGACTGCTGCTGAAATTCCTTCTTCTGCTCAACTATTAAAGGTACAGGAACCCTGTTTATCCAACAACTCCAACTAACAGTGGGTAGGGAATGCAGTAAGAGTCAGCATGGTGTTGTGGTTTGAATGATGATTACTCTGGAGACCAGGGTTCAAATTCCTGCTGAGCTATGAACCAATTGGACTTTTGACCACTGGGAGACCTTGAACAATTCACACTTTCTCAGCTTCAGAGGAACCCAGTAATAAGTCAGAAGCAACTTGAACCAGAAGGGAAGTCACTCTGTCTTTGGGCTGCATCCTTATTTCCTGTTGCTATTAGTTACAAGATAATTGAGATGCTCAAAAAACAAAGAGGAACTCTTCCACATTTGTGTGTGCGCGTACTTTTCTAACACCATCAATTCTGGTGGCCATTAACAATATCTTTAAAGCAATTTGCCATCACTTCCACTGGGTTACCCCCAAGCTCTTGTTCGCTATGTAAAAAAGAAATGTATTTCATACTCTGAAAAATTTCATGGATGAAAATCAGAATACATGTGACCAGCCAAGATCAGAGCACAATGAAAATAGCAGTACTTAATTTTCCAAAACTAATATAAAAGACAAAATTCTACTCTCTTCTCTTCCAACTGCATGTAAACTACTTCTCAAATTGGAATTCAGTTTGTAACAAATGAAGTAAGCCAAGGGCCAGGCCCGTAGCCAGGATTTTGATTCGAGGGGTGCTGAGTTTGATTCGGGGGGGGCTGAGTTTGATTCAAAGGGGGGGGGGCTGAGGATCTACCCTAGCAAACCTTTTGTATCATTATCCCAATAGCCCCATGCATATGGGATATATTGAGCATGGTGATCAGACATGATATGAATAAACATAACAGTTTAAATAATGTACCAGTAAGGCCTTCGCGCAGACCCTGAGAATTTGGGGGGGGGAGGGAGCTCAACCCCCCCCCCCCCCCCCCCGGCTACATGCCTGCCAAGGGCAAAGGAGGAAAGTGGAAGGAATGGAGAGAAACTGGGACATTTAAAAAAAATTTAAAGCAGCAAAAGTGTTTGGTGACAGAAAACAAATTGGGATTGCCCCTGTCAAAAAGGAATTGTTGGAGGGTATGGTATTTGCACTCCCTTCACCTCATCTCCTCAGCAAGCGAAAACTTTGAGACTCCAGCCTTTTCAAAAGTCAGTGAAACTTTTCATTCATTTTAATATCCCTTTTTCAAATATATTTCCCAGACTCCAGATGAAAAAACTGGAATAGTTTAAAAATAGTGCCATCTTTCTTTCATATTGGAGGTAGAGAAAGTGTGATTTTCCAGATACACACTAGATTCTAACTCCCATCGGGCCTTGGTAGTTTGGCCAAATGTAAGGCATGAACAGGGAGCAGCCCAGAAAGTAGGCCCAAGTCAAATGGTTTTTAATTGCAGAAGGGTAGATTTCAAACATCAGAAGGGATTCTTGACAGTAAGAGTAGTTCAACAATGGATCTATTATTATATTGTCAGACAGTATTTTGTTAGTGTGATATATGTTTGTAGTTTTTCAATTGAATATCAGCTATTTTGCACTTTGTATTAGTTTGCAGAAACAGAAGTATGCTGAGACAATGGAAGAAAGCGGGAGGAGGAGAAAGAAACTGGGATGTTTGAAAAACAACCAAAAGAGGAACAACAGAGAATTACATAATCAGGATTGTTCCTGCCAAATCAAGACAGTTGGGGGTTTGTTTCATAATATCTTTTACCTTCTGTGGTATCGAGTTGCAACCAAATCAGAATCAGGAACTAATTTCATAGGCCTAGCATTGATACAATCATAACACAGAGTTCAGAATTGTGCAAATTGAAAAATTGTATTCTCAGAAGCAATGCTGAAGAAATCTGGGAGATGCCAATGTAAAAGGTAGTATAACATTTATTCTTTCTGACTGTAAATAGAAGGTCAGCTGCCGTTCTCTCCTTTTTGCCTTGTCTTTTACTCATATTGTATTTTGAAAGGGTCATATGACTGTTCAAATAAATAAATTATTATTACATGCTGGTTAAAAAAACCCAAAAACCAAAACAAATACCCTTCTTTTCATTTTCAGTGTTCCTGTACTGCAGTGGTTCTCAACCTGGGGTCCCCAGATGTTTTTGGCCTACAACTCCCAGAAATCTCAGCCAGTTTACCAGCTGTTAGGATTTCTGGGAGTTGAAGGCCAAAACATCTGGGGACCCCAGGTTGAGAACCACTGCTTTAGTCAATTGTCCACGACAGGCCCGTAGCCAGGATTTCGTTTCGGGGGGGGGGGGGGCTGAATTTTTTTTAGGGGGGGGTTCGGGGGGGGGTGTGGGGGGGCTGAGTCTGAGTGAAAGAGGGTCTACCCTAGCAAACCTTTTGTATCGTTACCCCAATACCCCCATGCATATGGGATATATTGAGTATGGTGATCAGATCATGATATGAATAAACATAACAGTTTAAATAATGCACCAGTAAGGCCTTTTCGCGAACCACCATGAGAATTTGGGGGGGGGCTGAAGCCCCTCAAGCCCCCCCCCGGCTACTATGTTTCCATACCACTAACATTACTTCTAAACTGTCTCACCAAAAAGCTAAGAACAACTAGGCCCTACGACTATAAAGAGCTATTTTGTGAGGGAACCTCACAAAATATTAGCAGTGATAATCCAGATAAATCTTCTGTCATTCCACTTTTCTGCTGTGTTAAAACATCCTGGTTTCTCTCTCCTTTTCTCACTTTCCCCTTTTATTCTCAGCTTTCTTGTTGCAAACTGAGGGCCCTTCCACACAGCCCTATATCCCAGAATATCAAGGCAGAAAATCCCACATTATCTGAGTGTGGACTCAGATAACCCAGTTCAAAGCAGATATTGTGGGATTTTCTACTATGATATTCTGGGATATAGGGCTGTGTGGAAGGGCCCTGAGTTCAAAGGGCAAAGGTGAGGAGAGAAGGAGTCAGATGGTTACCCTTCCCAGTGTGCTCATGCAAAAGGTAGTTACTGCAGCCTCTTCTAGTATGCCAATTTTTCTTCATTAATAATGTTTACTATCTTGACATCTTGTCATGTTTTTCATCTGGAAATGTTTGGGAACATGGAATCTAAGCATAGCCATCTAGGGCAATGCAGAAGCATTTTCTCTCCTTTTTTTGCCTATTGTAGGCCATTATGTTTATGATGAATACTTCAAGACGCAAATCTTCTTCCTGGCTTTTTGGAGTTCTAAGTTAAAATACAAGGCAGAATCAGAAATAGACAGGAAGCCCTTAGGGAAATTATTCTTTGAAACTACAGGGAAATTGGATGGGAGCTTTGGCATACTCCTTCAGAAACACATATGAAAATTAATATATTTATAAACTAAAGTGATTTGCACTCTTGTTGCAAGCTATTGTATATTTTCCCAAGCTTTTAAACATTGTTGCCTGTATTGGTTTGAATGTATCAGTGGTTTTGAGCAGAGGTGGGAAGAAAGCCCATTTGTTACTACTGAATCACTCTTTCTTATGATCTGCAAAAATATGCCATGTTTCACCACTTGATTAAATGATTCACTTCTGGATCTGATCAGGTATAAGCTTTTTTTTTAAAAGCCTCTACCTTGTCAACTGCACAATGTATATAGAACTGTACATTCCCTTAACACCTTTCACAGTAACTACAGACCAAATTACAGAGCAGAAAGTGATCATTCCTGGGACTGGCTAATAGTGTACAACCGTTACACCAAAAAAGGGAGGTTATTGGGTGCATTGTACTGGCTCAACACTGAAAGTCTGTTTAATTCCCCTTCACACTATCATGTCCCCCAAACACCAGCATATTGTCCTGAATAAAATACAGATCATTCAGAATAAATCAGTAATATGTATGAACGTATTCATAATAGTTATTTGCTTTTTTGGTTTTTTGAAAAGAAGAAAAATGAGAATTTGGTACTACCCAATCATCTTTAATACCAGAAGAAAGAGTAAATGTGCTTGAGACAGAAATCTGACATTACACACCTGAAACTAGTAGTTCCCAACATTTGACCCTCCAGGTGCTTTGGACTTTAACTTCCAGAGATCCCAGCCACCTTACCGTTTGGTTTGTGGGAGCTGAAGTCCAAAACACCTGAAGGACCAGAGGTTGGGAACAACTGCATTCAACAATATAAAAGTGGATAGCGGGATGGAAATACTTTTTTCCATTTGGTGAAAGGAGAGACTGGGTATTGTTCAGAGGACACACAAAATACCAACAAAAGTAGTGGTTGTCCAGGGCTAACTAGCAAGGACATGGGGAATAGGGAAAAGGGAAGGCCACTTACGTTTCAAGTGGTATCTTTATCTGGGACCTGGTGAAGGGCAGGAGGCAGGTGAGTGAGAGAAAAAGCCACAAGGGGCCACCTGGCAGCATCCTCCACACCAAAACCTTCAGTAGCAGTATCAATGGCATAGACACAGAAATTCCTGGTGATGTTTCCTTTCCTCAGGATGGTCCTGGCATCAGTTGTGCAGGCCCCAGCATGATGCTTTGCTGGGGTAAGGCTGGGAGAGCTGGGGCCTGGGAACATTTAAGTCTTCATCCTAGGTTATGTTGAAATACCACTTCTTCCCACCTCTTTCCAAATAGGCTGCAGTTCCCTGAGGGGCCCAGCATCTGAATCTCCAGAATTAGAGAAGGAAACTCAAAGAAATCCACCACCCCATGACAGCAGTGAACTACAGAGGGAGCTTAGCTTCCATGCCCTGCAGAAATGGCAGACTCAGAGGGGAACTCTGCAAACAGCAGAAGCAGCAGTATCTACGTAATCCACTGCCGGCCCTTTAATCCTCTGGTAGAGCAGCAACAGCAGCAGATTTAGGGAACTGGAGTGGGATAAAATCAGCCAGGATTACTCTGATTTTCAAAGACAGGCATCAGTCTGTCCAATCAGAGCTTGGAACTAGCCAACTCCAACCCTACTTTAAAGGGACACGGCATCATGGCTTCAAAAATAAAAAAGCTTTATGACCTTTGATCCCTGCACTTG